TTCTGACTGCTTTTAGGAGAAGAGTGGCCTTGTCCTGCACCACGGTCCCTTTTCTCATACTCGCCTCCTGCTATCAGAAAAGGGAGCAGGATCTTTAAGCTACTGGGAAGGTCATCACCTTCCCAGCGATGGAAGTCCTGTTGCAATAGCCCCTGATTTTTGCCCTCTCATTTGGATTATAAGGCAGGCTTCGGTCTTCTTCCTTGTCATTCCTTTAATCTTTATCAAAGCAGCAAATGCTGTATATCCTGCCGTCACATATAATAATAAATAAAATTCTAGGTGAGCTCTCACCTCCCAGCATAACTCCAGAGACTGGAGAAAGGAAGGGAATGGGCTCTGGTATGATGTACAATTGTCTTGGGGAGTATTTCTATTCCTGTCTTAGATTTAGTCCAAGCTGAAAAAAAGAAAAAAAAAAGAGTCTGTCGATCAGTGTATTGACTTGGAGACTTTTGATTTAACTACAAGGTGACCCTTGAGGCTTGAGGTAGTGTGGAACTTTTCAAGGGATGTTAGCTTCCCTGGTTGTGGAGGCTGAGCCATCTATTTGAGTTCAAGTTCAGCAAGAAGCAGAGCTGGCATCTGAAATCTTCTGAGATGAAGAGATTTCTCATGTAATTAACTTCATTTTTCCGGGACCAGTTTTGGGAAGGGGCTTGCATGTGAACAAGAAGAAGTCCTACTACAGACAGCTCCTCTTTGGTGGAGGATAAGGCAGGAGCTGTCATTTCCATATGAAAAGAGGGCAAGCTGAAGTTTAAGACTTTATTTGCGGGATCTGCCTCCTAGGCTGGAGCAGAACTGGCCAGTGCCAGAAAGCCTGACTGCCAGGCTTGTCTCTCCCAGAACAGAAGACAATACTGGACCTTAGAACAATTTGGGTTTGAAGAGACTAAGCCAACCTAGAGTCAACTTCCAAGGTAGACCACTTGTTGAGGCCTTGCCCATTGCTAAGGCACTTTGGCTCTCCATACCAAGACAACCCTCCTGCAATGTAGGAAATTCTTTGTCCTAGGACAGTTCAACAATCCCAAAGCCAACCAGGGATCCCTAGTCGTGCCCAGTTCAGCTGTTGACTCTCCGGCTGCTCTTTTCTCCTAGCGGACTCTTTGCCAGGGCGGAGAGAGCAGCCGGCTGCGTGACGCGGAGCGGCTGCCTGTCCCCAAGATGCCCATTGTCTGCCCGTAGCATCTGCCTCCACCCTACTTACTCACTCAGCCATGGCTGATGTGTTTTAATTAAAGAGGAGGAATAATCTGAAATTTCAATTCTTTTCACTACTCGTTTCCTATTTCCATCGAAATTTGCAGCCTGCTCACCTTATTTTTTGTCTTGCCATTTTGTTGTGGTATCGTCACTTGATGGGATGTTTGCTCAGAACAAAGAAGGAATAGGAAAATAATAGCTTGTTTGGGGCTGGGGATTTAGTATCCTGGGTCAGATGGCTGCCACGGTCATTAACATGTTTACATTTTTGCTTAAGAGCTTGCTTGAGGATCAAGGGAGTTAAGGGTGATAGCTATTGAAATGCAGAGGAACCCTTGCATGAAATTGCCGTTAGCGTCTTATTGTTCGAGGGGGGCGGCCAGCCCGGCTGGTCCCTGTACACCCGTTGTCTGCCCAAGTAGAGGGGCAGAGGCAGAAGTGCTGCAGCTGAAGGAAGCTGCTGCGCTCACTTGGTTGTGGGAGAGTTGGCCTGGGAAGTGTGTCCTAGTGCCCTGCACGGCCGGGCTGCCCTCTCTGTCACTGTCCTCTCCTCAAGACAAAGGTGCTTGGCTGGGACACCTGGCTCTTCCTGCCATCCTCATGGATAAACACCTGAGGCGTCTAGTGAAGGTCAGTGTCCTCTTTCAGAGCTGAGGGACTCGAGTGTTTCCAGTGTGCTGCTGCTCTTGTGCATGGAGAACCATGTCCTGCAGGACTGGCTCAGCTCCTGGATTTTTTTGTGGTTAGCTACGATACCCAAAGCTGGGTTTGAGGCAGTTTGAGGTGTGGGATGGCTTTTGAGTACTGTGGTGACAGGTGAGTTCAAAGTGCCTTCATTTTATAAACTGGAAAAAATGTTTAAGTGTAAATGAAGGTGCTTGTTTACAGCTGGAGTTTACAGTAAAGACATTCGGCTTCAGCTTGTGGAAGCTGTGGTCTAAGCCCGCTCAAAAAGGTGTCTCTTTTAAATGCAGATTCCAATTGTTTACTACTTGACTCTTGTTCTTCTCTGTTGTTCAGATTCACTGTTTTAATTCAAACCTGTTTTCAGTTAGTATGTGTAACTTTATGTACTTTTGATTGGGGACTAATACAAAAGAGGAAAAAAGGCTCCTAGACCTACTGCATTTACAGCATCAAAGACAATAGCTACTTTTTGATGTTCTTAGATTTGGGGTGAGAGAAACCATGAGATGGTTAGCGGAAGAAGAAATGCTGTTAGTGTGATAGAGAAGTACCTTTAGAATGGAGAGTCATCTGTGGCTTCCGAGCAGGCCTTGATTATGTCTGTCGGTCTGTCTGGAAGCCAGCAGATACAGGCAGTAGCACCCTGAGTGATAGGATTGTATCTGCTCTGGAGGTAGCGGTGGTAACGCTGGATTCGTTATTGTGTCCTTGTGGGCTGTTCTGGGGCTGTTTCTTTTCATGCTCACAAAATGTTCCTTCTCAGCGTGCTTTAAAGCAGAACAAAGTATGGGAAAAATGGTTTGTGACCTGAGCAGCTCTTTTGTGCTTATGGAGCAGGCTCGCATCAGCTCTGCCGCCCTTCTGCCCTTTAAACAAACAGCCACATTTCCTGCTAGGACTAGCACTGAGGACGTGGCATGGGGCAGCCCCACGCGGTGCTTGCTAAAACCAGCAGTCAAAGTAGGGAGGCATTTAGAACTTCAAAGAGCAAATGGCTGTGTCCTAGAGATTTTGACATCTCAAATACCAAGATGTAGTTAAAGTGGTACCTTTAAGAGATGTCAGTTGGGTCAAATGATTTCAGGTAGCAAGGATGAACAAGCAGCATCTGTGGGCTTTTAGTCACTGAGTGACTCATCTCTCTGCTCCTGTAAATTCCCCTCAGAAAAGGTTGTCTCGGGTATTATGCTAATAACACATTATTTCCTGGGTATCTGTGCCCTGAGGTTGGGCATAGTAAAATTAGGCTGGCTTGGGAGTCCCAGCAAGAACCAGAAAGCATCAGAAGTGAGACTGAGTTGAGAAGTCAGTGTAGGAGATGATTTTGGGGTCAGATCTGTTAATTTGAAGAATTAGAATGGGCTGCCTGGAGTAAGGGGGGGGCTGAACTTCTCCAGGGATTAATATTAAGCCCTTATTTAACAGTATACAGTCAGTGAAATCCACCTTTGTGTCTGGGTGCCAGCTGCCAGGAAAGTACATCCAGGCCACCTCACAAGGACACAACAAGCAGATGGTGGGGGAAAGCGCCCGTCTCTGGCCGTCCACAGGTCACTTGTCTGGTCTTGCTTTCTGTAAAGAGCTTCGGCGTGGAGGGAATTCTGCTTTGAGAAGAGAGCCGGACAACTTTGCTCCACTGGAGGGGCTGGGACCTCCCTCCTCTCATGTGATGGTATCTCCTCAGTAAAACAGCCGGCCATGGCAGAGGGTAGAAGGTGCTCAGCAAGGGCTGGAAGGGGCTGGAGCCAGCACCGTGCCTGAGGCTGACCTGGTTTGGAGCTGTTTAGAGCAGCACCAGCTGCTGGCAGCTGCGTCCTTGGCCCCATTGCCTTTATCAGCCCTGGCTCGCCAAGGCGGCCGTCCCTCTGCTGCTCTGGTCCAGGACCTGGCGCCTGCTCAGCTTTTGTTCTCTGCTAGGAAAGCGTGGGGATTGGTGGGAACTTCTTGGCTCTACCAGGGCCTTTCATGTCCCAAATGTTTCCATGAAAAGACACCCTGCTGCCCATCCTGCCCCTGACAGCCATTGAATCCAGCCAACAAGCTTGATATCATTATCTACAAAGCAAGGCCAGCGAGTGCCAGGGTCTTCAGCGCCAAGTTTGCAAAATCAAAGGCAAATCTCCCGGCAACAGAGAGCTGGCAGAGACCGGGCCGCACCGCGGTTAGTGCAGGCTGCTCCGGCCGCTTGTGCCCGCTGGTGTTCAAAGCGCCAGGGAAACGTGCTTGGTGCGATGCCAGCGCCGGCTCTGCCGAGCCGGGCCCCTCGCAGGGTGGCCCCTGGGGACTCTGCGCTGCTTAGAACTCACTGGAAGCAGCCCTGCCTGGCAGGGAGCTCCAGTGGCCTTGCCGCTCTGTCCCTTTCGCTCGGTGATGTTTTTCGGAGGTGAACCTTTGAGCTTGATGGAAAACAGTTGTATGTTTGAGTAAAGTGGGATTCGGTCCACGTCTCACCTGAGACTTCCCTTCTAATGAGTCTGATTTACCCTCTGGAAATAGCCTGTGGCTTCCTTGTCATTTTTAACATAATATTTATCTTCTTTGCTCCCTATCCAAAGGGTCTTTTCACAATCCGTCTCAAAATAAAGATTTCTTCAGCAGTAAAAGCATTATAATTTTTGGAGGTATTTGTTAAGGTGGTGTTGAAAACCATCAGAAATACTGAGCAGATAAAGGTCTTGAGACAGGATAATGTTATTCCTATATTGCAATTGTGTTAAGAAATACAGGAGTAAAACTGTTTTCGGTGGGTTGTGTCTTACAGATTGCGTCTCCTGTCTGCCTGATGGACAGATAGGGGTGTAAAAAAATAACCAGGAGAAACAATGATGCAGTGGAAAAGAAGGTGAAAGGGGCTGGCTGAGCTGAAGCTTGGACTGAGACAGGGTGATGGTGTGTGTGATTTACCTTCTCTGCAGCAGGGTGCCCTGCAGGTCCCTGGGCAGAAAAGGGAGCTGGAGGTGAGGGGGTTGCATGGCAATGCATCGCTAAAGCCTGGAGCAGCCCCTGGGACCTCTGGGTCTGCAGTGAATAGGGAGTGTGTGGGAGGTCAGAGCTCTGTGTAAAACAGAGAAGTTAATTCTGTCACTTTTCCATCCTATCCCCAGTTCGACCCTGACAACACCGGCTACATCAGCACAGAGAAGTTTCGCACTCTCCTTCAGAGACACGGCTCGGAGCTGGACCCCCACAAGCTGGAGGTCCTCCTGGCCCTGGCGGACAGCAACTCCGAGGGGAGGATCTGCTACCAGGACTTCGTGAATCTGGTGAGTGCTCCGCATTGGTGGGGCCTGTCAGTCCTTTGCTCTACTTTAAAAGTTTGCTAGTGAGAGAGCTGTCAACACAAGCATTTGCAGTGTCCCAGCATCATAACTCTTCATGGTCTCGCTAAAACACTCAGTGGCCGGTGAATTCTCAAGCCACAAGAAAAGTCACTGCTGATTTTCCAAAGAAACATGTTTGCATGAGCAGTACTCATGGGAGCTACTGTAAGAAGAGCATGAGACAGCAGCTTCTACAAGTAGGCTCCTGCTCTCAGAATCAGTTGGTGGCTGTCACAAGGAGCCAGAAATCTGTCAGTCTGAATGTCTCCTGGTGTATCAAGGGATTTCACCACTCCCAAACAAAGTATACAGATAATTTATGTGGACTTGCTGGGTGGGAGTCATACTGTGCTGTTGTAGACACTCACAGCAACAGGAATAGACATGTTTCTAAAACAAGTTCATTTTCCCAGATGGGGTATCTCTGATAGACTAGAGTCATGATCTGAATGACTCTGCTTATGAGTCAGTTATTGAAGGAATCTCTTTGCTTCTCAGCAAGGCAGCTTGGCCAGATGTAGACACGTATGTTGTGGACACTCAGTATGTCCCAAAAACGTTGTTTGCAAGGCAGGCAGGTGTAACATTCCAGAGCAGGAGCACGTTGGAAGCGTAACTTTGTCCTGCGGGAATGGAAGGGATCTGCATCCCTTGGGCTGTATGGCCAGTCAGGCTATGACATGAGTCTCCCTCTGTGACATGTACAACTTCTTTTTTCTTGCTAGGCCAGCACATATTTCCTAGGTCTCTTGCACATCAAGAAAGACTCCCCCACCATTTCTCTAGTCATTGCTGAATTCCCGAGCAGCAGCTCTGCCGTGTTGCTCCTGCCTATGTAATTCCCACATCAGTTCCAGCAGGCAGCACAGGAGCAGGAGATACCTAGTGAATGTCAGTGACACCTCTAAGATTTTGCTGTAATGTAGGGCCTAATCTTGATGCAGAGCATAATTATTTGCATTTCTTTCTGTTCCCCCAGTAAGCCCGGGGATTTGATCCCCCGTTTCATCTGTAGTCACTCATGCATTGTGTTTTTGGTTTAGAAAGATTCTTCTGTATGTCTTGTCTCACATCAATCAGAAAAGTATGATAGCAGGGCACAGTCAGTAGCTTCAGTGTGTGGCAGGTGTGAAGGTAAAATTACTGTGATTCAGTGAAATATATTTGCTGGATCTAATCAAGCTATCTTGTTAGATCCTTGCATGCCTTTAGGTACACAGTAAAATAAATGAACCAACTATCAAATGGATCACAGTGAGTGTGAGTTTCCTCCAGCTCCAGGTTTTAATAAACGGTCAGGTCAATAGTACTCTGTGATCAGCAGAGTATTTATCGTAATAGCTGCTTGTTATAGAGTTCACTATGTCCAAAGCATGGTGCAAGCCTTTGCTAATCAAACTGCACAACACTTTGGTAGCAGGAAGAGGCACCTCCATCTCCCTACAGAACCAATTGCGCAAGGCCAGCCAACAAGTTGGCAGCAGGCAGAGGGATAGAACTGGGCTCTTCCTCTCCATCAGCCTCATCTTCACACCACTGAACTTGAGAGTAGTGCAAGCTGATGGGAGGCAGATGTGAGGCCTGGACATCTTCCCCCTTTGGGGGAGGGAAGATGGTGCCAGTTCATACCCATCTGAAGTGACTTCTGCAGCACGGTGTATTTTCTTCACTGCTATTGAATGAATCTTGTAAAGAGAGCATTGATTTTTCTATTACCAGCCCCTCTTCATCTGCATTTTTTGCACTCACTAATCAATAGTCAATGCGGATGCCAGAACATTAAATTACTTATAAATGGTATTTCTCCATCTCTCTCCTCCTCCTGTAGTTATTGATTCACACCATCCATTTGTTTTTTTAGAACTCCCTCTCTCTTTCCTAGTTTTTTGCTCCCAAACCTTTTGAGGGGTTTCTTTCCAAGCTTGGAGATTGGGGGACTGGGTGAGCTGCCTGTAACACACACCTTCTCATGGAGCTTGAAAGACAGAGGTGGTCATGCACCCAGTAGAAAGTAAGGCTTAATCACCAGGGATCAAAATAACTCGGGTTTCCTCCTAGATCAGTGCTTAGGGTATGATCACTTCTCTTTTCTCCCAGCTTTGCTAATTTTAATGAAAAAGGGGGTGCTTTCCCTCAGCTTTGCAGGACTCCCTAGATGTGAATGATAAAAGAGAGGCTGCTCCTTCTGCAGGGTACTTGGATCTCTACCAGAGAGTCCATTGGTGAGAGATGCTATCAGTGACCACAGAAGCAGCTATAACTATGAAATGATTATTCCCAGGAGGCAATACACCCCACCGAGCAGTAGTGTTAACAGTTTGTTTACTCCAGGGTGCTGCATGTCCCAAAGAGAGCAGTCAGAAATGCTTGCAGGCACGTCAGTCAACTTGCACGCACAGGGAACAGAAGTTGACTGCAGTTTCCAAGCAAAAGACTGTTTCTGAGCAAAACCAAATTCTGCCTTCATGTTCAAACAGTGCTTTGAACTTCCAGATCCACCAGAAATGTAATCTAGGACTTTTTACTTTAATAGGAGACACAAGTGTATGCACACAAACCTGGTTGAAACTCAGCAAAGTGGCTTGAATTTCTGAAATTGGAAGTTTTATAAAAATCTGCTGGATGGGAATCTGTGAGAAGAGAATAGACGCCCAGAAATTCCTTCATAAATAATTTGAGTAATGAATAAATGGGAGAAAGCTAAAGATTCCTGGTTTTATTTGCAAAACACTAAAAGAAATGGAGTAGACAACTCTCAGGGAAGTATTTTTCTGTTGTATATATGAGATTCATCTCATGTAGTTATAAAACATAATACTGCAATCATATCCATTTCTGCTTCTACACTAGGACTCATAAGAATGTAGAAAGCAGTTTCAGATGGGATTTCTTATCCTATGTCTGAGACACTGCAGAAGAGGAAAAAAATAACCCCCCTTAAGCGTTTCCTGAGCAAGCAGAGTTGTCTTGCATATTTCTCTTCTTCTCTTCCCTGGTAGCTCTTCTGTGTTGTGAAGAGATGCTAAAAATAGTGACAGTTCTGGCTATGAACAACGTAGACCATCGGAGGAGATAATGGGAGAAAAAAAAAAAAAAAAAAGCTTTTTAACTAACTTTGCTACTTTTAGAGAGAAGGAGACAAGCCAGAAAGTAATTACAGCTGTTCGCTGGGATCCTTGCTGAACAGCAGTTGCTACTGGCAGTCCTAGATTTCTTTTCATAATATCCTGACTGCAATAGAGCTAAAAAGCAGAACAGCAGGACCCTGGAGAGACTCACGCTACGTACTCTGGCCAAAATTTTCTTCTCTTCTCTGCCTGGGAACATGACTCATTACTTCAGAGATAGGAGTAAGGCTTGATTCTGCCCCTTGCAGGGAACAGTGTGTGCCCCTAGATTTTTCATGGCCATCTTTTCTACTTTCAGAGGGTAATAATGATTTCTTTTTGCTGAATCAGTGCTTGCAATGGTGACACTTTTGCTTGGGGTGCTTCCTCCAGCTTGGCTTGAACTGAAATGGCGGGAGAGAAGGAGGAAAAGAAAAACTGTTGCTAGGAAAAGGCAATTTTTTGTTGGAGAAAATATTGCATTTTTTCTTCTGGTTTTGTGAGGGTGCATGTGATAACATCAGGAAGGCTCTACCATCTTTTGGAGGTAGCTTTTAAGAAGTTACATACTGTATTCTTTCTACCTGATAATGAGGAGGGGAGAGAGTTCTTTTAAACCATACTTTTCAAATGATACTTAGAAGTACTTTGTAGCACAATCATAAAGAAGCTATAAATTGCGCTTCCAGCATCTTCCTGTGTTCTTTACTGAATCAGCTGACAGTCTGCCTAGAAGGTTTATGTGAATGTTGCTTTGCAATAGCTGCATGTAATACTTTATTACCTGAGTCACCAGGAAGACAAGCAGTAAACCCTAAACTCCTGATTTTTCAGGGGAATCTCCAGACGAGACAAAAGTTTACCCAAATGAATCATAGCTCCTCTCCCCACAAAAAGCTCATTTACCTTCTTGTATGTGTTTTAAGCTTAAATGGCTATTGCAGGATAACCTAGGACCAATAGCTCTAGGGAACTGGTTTGATGTTTGTAGCTTTGTTCTCCTTGTTGGAACCTTGCTGGAAAGATTTGTTGCAGGCAGAGCTGCGGGTTTTATAGCTTTCTCTTCCTCTCTGTCCTGGCCCAAGGATGAGGGCAGGTCCTGGTGCCAGTCGTCAAGCCATCTCCCATCACTGATCTCGGGGATGTCCTTCAGCTTCCAGTGGTAACCCTTTAAAGTGTTTCCTTTCTCCTTGACTCTGCTTTGGCTGGAAGTATATGATTCCTATATTGTCTTCCTGGCCTCTGTTCAGAGCTATAATAGTAAATATTTAATAAAGAAAGGATTTGAAAATCCTCTACTTCAGTATTTGATCTAATCTCATGCTCTTATGAATTCAGAGGAGGCTTCTACAAGAGGTAATGTTTCTGCATTTCCTTGCTGCACTGTCTTGGAGTTCCACTCCACATGCAACGGCAAACCTTGTCCTGTGCTAACACTCTCCCTGGGGAACTGTGCTCAGTAGCACAGCTGTTCAGGCACTGATGTACAGCTGGGTGGGTTTGAACATGGCTAGAAGCAGTGGCAGGGAACTCGTTGCTTTTTGTGGAGGAGATTTTGGTGGGTGAACCAAGACTGCACGTACAAGAGTTGATGTGAGCGGTGATCTGATCACGCCTCGATCCATTTCTTACATCTCAGTGTACTAGAACCCCTTTTGAGGGGCAAAGCTGTGGCTCCACGGCATGTTCCCCGGGGAGTTCAACACTCCTGACCAATGTTCCTCATGCTGTCTTCATATTGTTTTCCCTCCAGTCTTTGAGAAAACTGTCACTTCTCTGATGGAAGTGCTGGAAGCTACAGGGTGAGGACATGTAAAAGGAGTTGAGACAAAGCCTTGAGAAGAACATATTGCTGCAGTTAAGATAACTTATTTGATCTCTGTTGTGTCTCACTTTTCTTGAATCACTAGAAGAAAACACTGCTTGGGCAGAACAAGTCAGGTTGTTGGCTTTTCTTTTATTCCATCTGATGCTCTTTGGGAAAGTGCTACCAGGTTGGTACAGAGGATGTGAACATCTGTGATGGATGAACTTGATGCTGAGGCATGTGTTTTGGGAGAAGCAGTCTTTACCCTCATTAGCATTTTGCAGAAGTGTAGAGTGAGGGAAGAAAAGAAATGTGGATCTTGAAAGCAAAATTGATTGGAAAAGCTGCATTCGTAACTAAAGTGGGTTATAAAACTGGAGCTGACAGAGGCTTTTTAAAAGCTTGTGCTAACTTTTGATTTAGTGTTCTGTCTCTTGGAGGATCAGAGCTGGGAGCCAAATGGCCTGATGCAGTGTGGTGTGTATTCAAAAATAGCCATAGACCAGCCTGAGATGCCAATACGAGATGGGCAGAAGTCCATGTTTTTCCAGGCCTTGTGAACTGGGCTGAATAAAAACTGTAAAAATGGTGCTGTGCCCCACAGGAGTCTCGAACTGAAGTTTAGATGGGGAAATGCTACAGGACACAGGATTCTCCTGTGCTGGGACAGCAGCAGCAGGGCAGATGGCCAAGAAACCTGGCAAAATTGGTTTGTTTAGGAGTAGATAGTTTCCATTGCATGATGTGGATTACCTGAGACTCTCTCAACTGATGTGGGTTCTGAACAAAAGCAGGCCTTCATACTCTGCTGAAACTTGGTGTTGTCCTAGACTAGACTATAAGGACTCTTATTCTAAACTTTGGCATTTTTAATCCTAATTCAGACTGAAGTGGGTGAAAATTCTGCTTATTAAATATAAGCAAGCCACTCTCTGAGAAGCACTGTAGCAGTGAGCTGTGTTTTGCTTTGGTGTGTTAATACCCAAAGGGCAGAGTTAGCAGTACACGGTTACAGGTCATGTCAGTCTGGCTGTTTTGCAAGGGAAATTTCTTTCTCTCTGCATAATAACTTTTTCTAGGCATGAAAGATTAAGGAAACATGTTGTTCCTCCCCATCATTCCCCACATTCCCTATTTGTTGTACCCATCTGCCTGCAGCTTTAATATCATGCTCATTAAGGAAGTCCCAGATCAATTGCACAGAGAGAAGCTGAGGGGGCTGCCCGGTGCTTTTGGAGCCGTAATGCACAGGCCAACAATGGGCTCCGTGTTCTTTCAGCTGATGATTAAATGCCTGGCCCATAAATACCAATATTATATAATTCCCAAATCAAGTCAACAAAATGAGACCATATGGGGAAGGTTTTGAACCATACTGGGGAAGATTTGAATATTCCAAAGTCAATCTGAGGAACAAACTGGGCTTCTCAGCAAGAGTTTATTGGAGTAACAACAGCGGCTAAATCCTCTCCTTCTCTTCATGCCATGGTTCCCCATTGCCTCCTATCTTGAGGTAAAAATGTCATCCAAAGGCCAGCTGGGTTGTGTGAGTAGGCCCAGGACTGTTGTCTTCTGGTGTCCTAGGAGTCATCCTCTACTGAGAGCCAATGTCTTTCTTTACCTGAGTTGAGACCTCCACTGTGATCCTGCCGTATCCTACTCTTAATTAAACCAGGAATGCCTTTGGAAATACCATGCTGGTGGATTGTGCTGCCTTAACTTGTTATTTGAGCCTTTTGGGCTGCTTTGGTTAGCAGTAGCGCAGAGCCAGACACCGAATGTAGCCAGTGCTGCATTCAGGTGACTGAACTGAGCAGGCTCTTCTTGCCATGTTAATGGTGACAGATGGGTTCAGTGGTGACTGGGATCCTCTGCTGAGCAAACGGAAGGAAAATTCCGTAATGAGCCTAGCACAGGCATGAACACTGACAGCGACTGGCATTTCCGATGCATCTTTCCCTCAGCAGCCTCTTCAGGAATGAGGTGATCATCTGATGAGGGCTGTCAGCACTTCTTGATGCTGAACTGCAAACAATATTTTCTTTGGTTAACTCTGGAGATTAGGATTTTTCCATTGATGTGCTGCAGCAGGGAAGGGCACTGAGCGTTTGTGGTAGGCAGGAAAATCAAACATATCACTGCAGTTAAGAGACGTATCAGCAGCTTCCAAGGACTGTCAGGTTTTCTCCATCTGTAGCACACAAGCTAGGAGTTTCAGTCAGAATTTAATCTCCTTCACAAGAGGCATGAAACCAAAGAGAACAGACACGGAGACTGCGAGGGAGCAACGCTGTGTGTCCGACTGCCTGCACCCGCCGAACCCGGAGAGACGCTTTCTTCTGCAGACACAACAGGGTCATTAGGTGGCCAAAGGTGCATTTTGCCACAAAGGAACATCTGTCACCTACCAGAAGACATCCTGCAAATGCAAAGGAAGCCTTGCAGCTGGCGGAGGTCTCTCCATGAGAACACTGCTTTCAACATAAACAGGCTTTCTTTATACAACAAAAGATCAGCAACAATTTTTGTTCTATTCCTTTGTATTTTTAGAGAAAAACTGTAGGATGGCAGACTTGAGAAGACAGAAAGAAAGATCTTTGTGGACAGATTTTCTCCTCTCTGCCTTTTCTGCTTTTTTACCATCTGTATTTTTTGCTAGTGTTTTATCAATGAGGAAAAGCAACAGAAAGCAAAAAGCAAAAGAGAACAGGAAGAATAAGAAAGAAGAAAAAGTTTTAGGGTGGAACTCCTTTCTCCCTAAAGCACCTCAAAAACAAAGATTTTTTTTTCACAAAGAGGAAAAAAATAAACACACACATACACACAACTAAAATAACCCAGAGCTTTTTGTTGTATTTTTTTTTTCTCCACCAGAAAACTCAGAAGGTCAGTCCAGCAGCTTGCTCCAAATAGGAACAGTTACCTGGCTGCCTGGGCACTGAGGGTGCAAGCTCTGGGTTTCTTCTGCCTTCAGGATATTAGCTGAAATCAGAGCAATCCAAACTGGAAGCCAGTGCTGCCGCATGTTGTCTGTCATTTGGGGTGATGCTGGTGGTTTCTGATATCATTTAATAGTTGGCTCAGAAGGACCAGACTGTCACACTCACTTTGGTGCCTTTCACTGCGAAAAGGTTCCCCTTTAGTGATCTTTAGCCACAATTAAATATGTTATCTTTTAAGCCTTCTCTGCCAAAGATTCAGCCAGTACAGCCAGTGAATCTAATGCAGCAGGTTTGTTTGACATCAAGCCTAATTAGTAATTACCCAAATCTTGGAGCAAGCTCTTTCAGACCTGATATCTTTTTTTTTCTCCAAGCAGGCTAGGCATAAAATTCCATCTGCCTAATTTGCAAATGCAACTGCTTTAATTATGCATCCGAGTAGGGAAAGTATATGCTCAAAAGATAAATAGCTAATTCTGTGCACGTATGATGATAATGCATATACAAATCAGCTCTGTCCTCCAAAGCTTATCCTCTGAGGGGGCAGATTTTCAGATGGTGTAACTGCTCAGAAAACAGTAACAAAAGCTGTCTTACAAGTTTACAGTAACTAATACACCAGTTTAGCCTTTGCTCATGTGGTTGTTTTTGTTTTATGCAACATATCCTTTTCCTTGCCCAGAGCTAACTCATGCCAGCAAGGACAGAACACAAGGGCTGGATGCTGTGAGTGAACCTGCTGCTACAGTGAAACTCCCTGCCCCCCGAGATGGCAGGCACAGGAGGTGTGACAGAGCACGAGGACATGGGGACTTTTCTCAATAACTGTCTGTGAAGGTGGTTGATGGAGGGCTGGAGAATCAGCTGGAGACCTCAGCTGGATGCATCAACATCCCCTGCTCTACCCTGGCCCCAATGGGCACCATAACAGAAGACCTGTATACTTGGTCTTCCTCTTGCACCTTGGGGTCATCCCATGGTTAGGCTGGGACTTAGCTCTCCATTTCGAGCCTGTCCAGATCTTGGCACTGTCAAACGGGCACAGATCTCCCTTGATGTTATACTAGGCCTTCCTTGGTCCTCACGGTTTCTTCCTTTTCTTTTCACCCAGATGAGCAACAAAAGGTCGAACAGCTTTCGCCAAGCCATCCTGCAGGGGAACAGGAGGCTGTGCAGCAAGGCTCTGCTGGAGGAAACGGGGCTGAGCCTAACGCAGAGGCTGATCCGACACGTTGCCTACGAGACGCTGCCGCGTGAGATTGACCGAAAGTGGTACTACGACAGCTACACGTGCTGCCCTCCACCGTGGTTCATGATCACCGTCACTATCGTAGAGGCAAGTGCCTTAACACCTTTTCTCTGGGAAGCCACCACATGCTGCCAGAGGCTTTGCTGAGACATGAACGAGGGCTGCAGTGGGACAGATTTGCACCTAGAAAAGGATGAACGTGAAACATGAAGTGTCTGCAAGCGCGGACTGTCACTCTGTCCGTCTCAGGACAGATACTAGTCGCTGAAGCAGTCTGTATGTGACTGTATGTGTATTCCCTGTTTGGGAAACTAATGGAAAACCTTTCAAAGACTGAAAGTCTAGACCGTTTTGTGGAAACAAGTGATTGGCATACTAGATTCTGAAGAAATATTTCTGTAAGGCATCCTCTGTTCTATTGAATGGAGAGGAAAAGGAAGGGACAGAAACTAGATTAGATGTTCACACCTCTTGTCCAAATTAGAGCTTTACTCAAAAGGCAAAAAAGATGTGCAATTTGCTTACCTTTCTATCAATTTAAGAAGTGTATTTCAGTGAGAGAAGGCACTTGCTAACTGAGGAATCTTCCTGCTCTTCTAGGTTGCCTTTTTCCTTTACAACGGAGTCGTGCTAGACAGATTTGTACTGCAAGTCACCCATCCCTTATACTTGAAGAACTCATTAGTTTATCATCCTCAGCTCCGTGCTCAGGCTTGGAGGTACCTAACCTACATATTCATGCATGCAGGGTGAGTACTTACAAACTGCAGAGATTTCCCACAGTTCAGGTTTCCTAGACATAGAGAGGAGGAGAAAGCGCCTGAATCAGCTCAGAAATTGATTTAAAAAAAAAAAAAATCAATTCTGAATGATGTGTAAAAATCTGAAGTTGTTGTAGGATCTTAGGCAATTAAGCTCCCTATGCCTGCAACATGTCCTCAAGCAGTGATGTTCATTTTGTGGGGAGTGGTATAACGCCTAGAAGCATGATTTAAGATTGAACACCTATTTTGTACACCCTTACAAACACCAGCGCAAGATTTTTGTCCTGCAGAGCTGACAGTCTTGACTGATCAAGAGAATTGGTCCACCAAATGGAGGTGCCCAGTAAAATGAACTGTCCTTCATCCTATGGGAGGTATGTAGCAGACTTAGGAAGAGAATAGAAGATTGTTTACTCCTCCTAAGATTCAAAGAAGCTTCATTATGTGATGTTTGTGATACCATGGTGATGAGTGAATGTCACAGGAAAGTTCATTCATGTACAAAACACCCTACTCCCTCTTTGTGGTTTCTTGGATCATTATCTTCACACATTCCTGGCAGATAATTGCAATTTTCTGTAATTCTGTCATAGAAAATCCTAGCAAATAGGTTTTTAGCAGCCATTTACAGTTTGAAACCAGATAAAGACCCTTTGTTGTTAAGTGGGAAGCTTATATTCCCATCAGTCGATATTCTCCTTTAAAAGGCCAAAAAGATCAAACTGGTCTTTCTGTTTTTCTGCCAGAAAATGAATGTCCCTTTCTGGAAAGACTTCCCCAGGGTATAATTGCCCTTGAGTACAAGATGTAGCCCAGACCTCTGGATAAAAATTGTAGTCATGACAGAACTGACTTGACACAAGGGGATAGTATGAAGTCCTCTGTACGCAGGTTCCAACCCGCTGGGCTAGATGTGAGGCTGGGGACGTAAATAAGAATGAGAAAGGTCTATCACTGAGATTGTGGGCAAAGCCGGGCTTGTAAGAGAAAGGAACCCTTGGTTTCTAACTACTGTTAACTAATTTGTATCAGGGCTTTCTCTTTGTGTGACTTTTTTTTTTTTTTTATGGTCTATTTTGTCTATGAACCACAGATTGTTTTGGGTTCCATTTGAAGACAAGCAGCTGCACAGTAACAATTTCTGCAGCATTCAAGCATCTTCCTGTATCACTTGTGGCATGTTTCACAAGCCTGGGCACAGCCTCCCTTCCCTTCCCAGCACTCTGGCACTCCGCACACTTGTTGTCTGAGGAGTACCTCAGGTTTACTTTACCTCCTGGCTGGCACTGGAGATGAACAACAGTGAGGGTGACGTGCAGGAGACTCCTCACCCTTGTGATGAGTTCCAAATTCTGTAGCCGTGTAGCCCTCAAAACCATCACAAGCCCTTCTTGAACAGTAAACCACACAGTTTATCCATAGGACCTGAAGTTGGGCTAAATGTCCATTTATTGCTAACTCCTTTGTGTTAAGCTCCTTTCATTTCAGGAGAACAGATAAATCTTGAAAAGGTAATAACATTTTTAGTGGAAGCCCATCACTCTCCTCTCATTTTCAAACAAGAGACTAACACAAAGCCATGGGTCTATTGTTATCCTGCTTCCTGCTGAGACATTAGACTAGTGATGTGAACTTCTCTTTAATTTAGTGCTCTCAGTCTGCTTTTCTGTGAGCAACGGGCAGGCGGAAGGTGTCCGGGAAGGCAGCGGTTGCTAAGGCTTGGCTGGCTGTGCCTCTAGAAAGATTCCAAAAATGGAAGCATGGAGGGAGCTTTGTCATGGCTGCAAAGGCAGGCCAAGTTGTAAATTCTGCCCTTCTGCTTTCATGGAAGCAGACGTTGATTATCTGGGGGCCACGCATTTGTAGCAGTACCATAACTAATGACCTGCATTGATGCTCCGTTTCATTTGTTTGGTCCCAGGAAAGGCAAAAGTCTTCAATAAATCAATGAAATTGTCATTTCAAGAATGATGCATTCAGCACTGGCAAAGGCTAATTATATTTTATGGGTGCTTATTGACTTGGAGCCTTCAATGCTCTTAGCATGATGGGGACGAGGCATGAATGGGGTCAGTCCTGCAAAGTCTTTTAAGAACAGCTGTGATTCAGAACAGTCACTTTTGAGTCTAGGATAAACTTTGCCATGCTCTTACAAAAACTGCCTTTGAAAAATTAGCCCCAGTGCTTTGTGTGGAAATGTCAGGCACCGCCTCGTGACGTTAACTGTTTGGCAGCCAAAAGGTCCTCCCCACTCGCTCGAAAAGGGCTCTTGGCCGCTTTGACTCTTTCCTGTGATCTCTGTTTGACCTTTGTTGCTCATTCCCCATTCAGGTCTCAAGTCCCATGAATGTGCAGGGTCAGAGCAGAAACCCGAATGTGCCCATGGCCAGTGGCCTCCGAGGCATTGAGCAAGGTGATAAACACACTGTGGTGGGCAGCAATTGCACCTGATGGCAAATTGTGGTGCTAAGTGTCTGATACAAGGAGAGAAATTTATCCGTAGAGGGAAGTGAGGTGGAAACAAACCTATTAAGAGCTCAGGAAAGAACACTGTCCTGTGGTATAATTTCTAGCCATCTTTATCAACCCAACTCTAAATTCTCCTTCATGCGGCTGTTATATCAATTACTGCATCTCTTACCATCAGCACATTTTTGATGTATATGGGAAATTGCTATGGTAATGTGAAAAAAGACCGAAATAGTAAAATGCATTTAACTTAAACCAATGATTACTAAGGATCGTCTGTGAACGATCTATAAAATAGGATGTAGGTTTGCAACGCTTTAGCAATTTGCACTCTTTCCACCCCGAAGATACTAGTCTTCTGCATTAAGGGTGCATTTGTTTCATGTAGGTCCACTCTTCACACGGATAAGGGGGGTCCTTGGGGACCACTTGCAAGGATCACAACCCTGCAGACTCAGAGTAAATCTCAGATACTAACAGAGTAATGAAGATGGTCCCTGTTCAGGGGCCTGATGCTGCTGTTACATCAGTGGAATATTCTTCAGCTGGCAAAGGGATGGATAAATACTTGTATGGCTAAGAAGGTGGACAAAGTTAGAAAGGAGGACAGCTTTTATTCTTTCTTGACACAGGATAGAACACCTTGGACTCAATGTTATTCTTCAGCTCTTGGTTGGGGTTCCCCTGGAAATGGTGCATGGAGCAGCAAGGATCAGCTTTGTCTACATTGCTGGAGTGGTGGCAGGTAGGTGACATTTCTACACAGCTGCAGATGGCAAGGCATCTGAAAATGGTCCGTGCTGGCTTTCTTAATATGGAGTTCGATTAATCTCTAGTTTGTGCCATATTGCTTTTATTCGTGTTTGTTTTTATCCAGCAGTTTGGAAGTGATGGAAGTTACTTGACAATAGATCAACATCTGATTAAAACAGGAGGGGAGTGTGAGAACAACCAAGGGCTTCACAGTGGAACTCAGACAGAGATTGACTGCCTTAGCTCAAGTTTTATGATTTTTTTTCAGCCTCATGATTTTATCTTTTTTCCATAATGAGCAAATAAAACTCTTGTAAAATGGGATGCACAGGCTTTACCAGGCATCAGGCTGGGCTGAGCACCCCAGGCTCTGCAGGCTGCAGACAGAGCCTGAAGCTCTCAAGCCCACCTGGTGTCATTGGGTCTTTTCTACTACAGTTCAACCTCATTGTGCAAATATGTGTCTTGCCAGGACTGCAGCTGCTTCTGTTTTATCCTCCAGTGAGGAATATGACACAGGCATTTGTCTTTCTTTTGCTTCCTTGTTATTTTGGTCAGAGTGTAAGTGTTTTTGCAACACAGATTTGAAGATGCATTGCTACCTTGTGCTGGCCTGCTCAGCTGCTTTTAAAGTAGGCACAAAAGAACTGATCACTTATATTCTTGTCAGTGCTTAGTTTCTCAAGTTGATTTATCCCCTTTCCCCTTTCTTTTCTCTTCAATTTCCCCATTTATTGTTACCCTTTGGCAATTAACCCAGAACAGGCAGTAGCAGGGACGTTGGTAGCAAAGAGTGTTTTTATTTGGCTGCTAACTGTGTGAAACTCTTGTTCTTCCTCCTAGGATCGCTTGCGGTGTCAGTAGCTGATATGACTGCCCCTGTGGTGGGCTCCTCTGGGGGTGTATATGCACTTGTCTCTGCCCACTTGGCCAATATAGTCATGGTGAGTATCAGAATGAGTGCCCAGCCTCTTTGAAAGTGAATGAATCCAACCAGCTCTGATGGCTCCAGTGACTGGAAATAGCACCTGACCCAGCTGTTGGTCATTCAAGGCTTGCTCCTGTGACTATATCTTGTCTCAGTGGTCTGGCCCCACAGCAGAACTCTTTCACTGCAGTTGGTGGTGGGTTGGTACCTTGAATGGCAGCAAGTGATGAGACTTATCAGGTTGTAAAGAGAGCTGATAGCCTGGAGCAAAGGCTGAGAAATCTTTGGAAGAGAAGGAACTGCCTGGCTTTGCAGGATTTGCAGGGCTCATCTGTTGTGTTGTGTTAGCTACTACCTAAGAGAATTTCAGTATGTGGTGAATTTGTTGCAGAATATCTCTTACCTGCTTTTGTAACACCCAGACTGAAGTTGACCCTTCAAGAAAGCTGACCCTTAGCCATACCAGTGATAATATTTTTTGCTGTTTCACATAACAAAGTACTTTACAAAGGTCAGTAAATACCAGCATCTCCAGTTTTCTCAGGCTTGAAAACAACAACTCATGTTCCTGGTGGGGAAATGCCTGCTAATGCACAGTTATGTTCAGAGTGACCCGTGTTTCTGTGGGCTCTGTGGTGGGAGGGTGTTTTCTGTCACTCCAAGGGTGCTAGGGCAGACATGGGACTTCTTCACACTGAGATTCACGGGACAAGAGGGGGAACTTGGAGAACATTTGTCTTTGCTTTAAAGGAAGAGCCTCAGAGGTGTGTAGGGAGTCTTCAGCAGTGATGCTTCCTAGGACATTGCAAAAGGGCCTGTCATTTAAGCACTCATTGGCTTCCTTCATTCCTCAGCAATTCCTATGGCAGCACTACCATTTTCAGCTGTTTTCTTTCTCTCCTGACCTGAAATGACTTTTCTTGCCTTCCCCATTCTGGTGAAGATTTTTGCTTTTCTTCCTGCCTTCCCTCCTCTCTCTTCTTACCTAATATCTAGATGTGGCACTGTTAACATACTAAAAGATGCTGGTTACCCAGCTGAGTTGCTGGTAAAGCTCATTTTTTTTTTGCAAAGGTGCTTTGAATGTGCTGAGGAAGAGGAGGGGACTGGTACAGGGAGGGTTTCATTTGAATCTTCCGTTCCCTTATGCCTCCTAGTAACCAAAAGGAAATGAAAACATCCCTGCTTGTAAAAATAAATATTTTTGAAATTAAGTACATAAAATAACCAACAGGGGGAAGCAATAAAGCATCTCACCCTAAGGAAAAGAGTAAAGGGAAAAATTCAAAACAGCTCCATAGAAATGAAGAGCAAAGGAACCAAGCAGAGTATTAATCAGCATGAGTTCAGAGCCTTCTGACTGGGTTAGGTGTCTCTGTGGAGAGAGAAAATGAGTTGCTTATTTTGTAGAGATTGCATTTTTGCAGTCACAGAAGTGATTTACAGACAGATCTCACATAAAACTTGAATATATGTTATGTATACTGCAAAATATTCCTTCAGCAGGCTGAAAAGGCAGTGGATGCTGTTGAACTTAGGCTAAAGGGCTTACAAATATTTTTTTTTATTCAGCATGATGAACAGGTAGTTTGTGACAAGAGACCTGCCAACAGGGGTTCTAGAACATTCCTAAGAACAAGAATCTGATGTAGGTACCAACAGGCAAAAATTTCCTTTACTGCTTAAAAATAATAATAATTGGTTGCCATACATATGGGTTTCCCAGGACATAATTTCCTTTTCTGCTTGAGTTTTTTTTAAAGTGGACAAAGAGGAATTTGGACGTTTTTTCAGAGATTTCTGATTATCATTCAGAAATTCTTATTCCACCATACTGACAAAGCCTGAAAACAAAGGAGGCCAAATCAAGACTTTTTCACAAAGCAGATTCCTTGCTTCACTTTTATGCAAGTCTTCCTTATTTATGCTCCACAGAAGGTAAGAGGAGCTAGCATCCAGAGAGGATGTGGTAGCATCCACAGCAGTGGCTGACTGGGATGAGCTCTAACATCAAAGTGAGCTCCCAGAAATGTACCCCTGGATGCTACTTCATGGGTATCTGCCACTCCTTTCAATGGCACCTTCACTGCACAGTTTAATATGTAAGTAACTGCCATGAGTGCCTCTGTGTTGGCTCACTGGGTCTTACAAAAAGAGAAAAGCCTTTGACATTGGGATACACGTAGACCTTGACTTTGATCCTGGTTACCGTCACACTGAAATCAGCTGGGATCTGCCCATACACTCTTCCTTTCTGTAGACTTTTTTCTTGAAGTCCAATGTGTTCTCTCTTGAGAGAGAAAGTTTAGATGAAGTTATAAAAGTGTCAGTGTCTGGACAATAAAAATAAAACAACTAAGCCTGTCTAGTCCTTTAGTGTGTGCATGCACTATCTTGTTATGCAGTGAGTAGCACATAGACATGGCCCATGTAAGCTAGTGATTTTTAAAAATTCCCTGACTTCTGACTTCCACATTTATGACTGTCACTAGCAGCTTTGGGGTATTACCAATCCCTTCTATATGGCAAAGCCAAACTGCTAGTACAGAGGAGCCAGTGACCTGAATTTGGAAAAGTTTTTCTTTGATGCCTTCAAGGTTTGCACTCTGCACAACTTTATTTTTGTGGTCTCTTTTCCAGAACTGGTCAGGAATGAAGTGCCAATTCAAACTGCTGCGCATGGCTGTTGCCTTGATCTGTAGTAAGTATCACGCAATATTTGGATCCTGCTTTGTTTGCCCTTGTCCCAAGAGTTCATGATAATTTCGGGAGTTTTGACATTGCAGCAGTTTTGGTAGGAACCTGCAGCTGGATCTTCTGACAGCAAAAAACACATCACTCTTAAATGCATATTTGGCTTTCAATGTAAGCAATTGTGGATGATAATTTGTTGTGAGCCAGCATTGTAGCTTGTGGTATTTGTGAAGATGTGGAACCTAGGTGGCTTGTTTTGAACTCTCAAACAGGCAATGCTTTCATAATGCTTATGTTTAGGTTTCCTAATGCAGCTCCTGTCTGGAGTGGCAAGAGCATTACACAAACATCAAAGAATTGTCTTCCAGGTATGACTGTAGTGTGGCCCTGCAAGGGCAACTAGGCCCTGTACTCACCACGGACAAGTATCTTCAAAGTCCAACTCACACTTTTAATGTTTTAGTATGAGATTTTTGGAAAGAAAATATTATTTCCCTCTGTCTACACTTCCACCATCCCAAGCCACCACCAATCATTCTGGAGATCTAGACCATGACTTCATTTATCCTTCTTTATTCCAGTGAGTTTTGAGTTTGGAAGAGCTGTGTGGCTACGATTCCACCCCTCTGCCTACCCACCCTGCCCGCATCCCAGTTTCATGGCTCACCTGGGAGGGGTGGTGGTTGGAATCACCCTTGGCGTCATCATACTAAGGAACTATGAGCAGAGACTCCAAGACCAGTCCTTATGGTGGATCTTCATTTCTATTTATCTCATTTTTGTCTTGTTTGCCATCTTCTGGAATATCTTTGCCTACAACCTGTTGGATTTGAAGCTACCTCCCCCTCCCTGAAAGCACAGGACAACAAACTCTGGAGAGTGGAACTCATCTGCCGGCTATGTTAAATGAATCAACATGAAGGATCTATTTTTTATATGAAACTTAGGGGAGAATGATTCTTTTGAGCGCAAGCCTGTGCTGAAGGAGACACTGGAAGGTCTCATAAGCGAATGGGCTGATGAGTTTGAGCATGAATCTAACAGGTACTGTAATTCTGTTCGGCTTGGACCCTGCATGTTTCCATTGCAGGGACTCCTCTGGGAGAGCTTGTATCTGGGCATTCATTGCTTGGTTTGTTAGCACACATCCATGTTTTTTATGGGCTATTTGCATTTTTCACATTGGTGCTGTACTTGAAACCAGTTGTTGAACAAAACTCCTCAATGTCACTGAATGCTCAAATGGAAAACAAAACACAACAGATATTTGTTAATTAGATACTCATGTGACATTCACAAGGCAGCTTGGGTTTGGTTTCAATGGATACATCTGACTGTTCAGCCATACCAGTGCCACTGTCTGATTACTTGAATGGTTCCTTAAAAAATTTAGCCTATGGTGAAAACTCTTTCAAAGGGACCAGCAGAACTTGGTCACCCAAAGCAGTGGAGACTGGTCCTCAACTACAGATCAAACAATATTGCACTAAAAACCTCCGGGACTCTTTAAGTGGTGTGGACACCCATCCAGAGGTGACTTTACTCTGCATGTTTCACTTTGTTTTTCCCAGCCAGCTGTGGGTAGGCTGTGCGGCTAATGATTCATTTTCATGGGAGAAAAAAAGGAAAAAAGAAGGGAGCAAAGGTTTATTTGTGTTTTTATTAGTTGACAATCGGGTGCAGTTTTCTTTTCTCCAAGCAAGGATCTCAACTCCAGCAGGCCCTTACTAGAAAGGCAGGACCTGGATCAGGATCACCCACTGAGAAGACTGGATTTGCAGTGACTGCGAGAACAATGAAGATGGTCGGTGTTCCTGAGGCAATGGAAGTTCAGAGGCTCCAAGCAACAGTTGCAGTGATGCATTTTTGCTCAACAGAGGTCGAACACAGGATTTAGGAATCTCTAAGTGGTCTGTAGCACAGTCCATACAGCAGGATGCTGCCTGCATGCATGCAGGGGAGCACACTGGACCGCCAGAGCAGCGTTTTAGGTACTGTCTCTGTCAGGTATTTCTGTTATTCTGCTTCTCACTTTTGGGAGCTGCCAAAAGAAAATGAAGGAATGTGGGTGCCCTCCCCTTTTCTACCTATTGCAGTAGGCTGGAGAAAGCAGCTGCAGGAGTACCTCTAGACCAGCTCCTTTTTCCCTTTTCTATTTGAGAATCAGTGACCCTGGCAGTGCAGAAAAGTGGTGTGTGTTTTGGTGGGATCCTCTGCACTGAGAACAGGGCAAATGGACATGAATGGTGGACAGGCCTTGCTGACCCTCAGTGGGGAAGTAGGTTGACTCTCAGCTTGCATCAAATACCCTGATGACCTGAAAACGTTACCTGAGTTGACCTGAAAACATAAGTTTTTGGTGCATTCTTTTTTAATTTCTTGCAGTTCTTTTTTTTTTTTTTTTTTTTTGAGAGGTCAGTCAGGTTTGCTCTGTAGCAAAGTGTCCGTGTGATGGGCTTTATTCTATCACCTGTGTAACTGCTGCTGCCTGCTGATACTGTAAGCTAGTGGTTGACTGTTCCTGTAGAGGAGACACTCACTAGTGGTCATCAGCTGTTGCTTTCTTTCCCTTTCTGAATAAAGCTGTCTGCAAGGATGAAGTTCTGCCCCATGGAACTTATTAGTAAAACTCCTATTGCTTAGGGGAAAGGGAAGAGGAATAAGGAAAGGAGTTTCTACATCCTGTGAAAGAAAGATTTTTTGCATTCTTTGTCCACAGGAATGGGAGCTTTGCAGGTAACTGCACCTTTGGAGTTTCCCCTGGTTGCACATTGCTCATGGGCCCTTGGATCAAGGGACAAGAAGAAGGGATGAGGTTAAGAGCTCTAATGATTTTCAGAGAAGGATAATGGTTCCTTGTGCCTTTTCACCTCTGCAGTTCAGGTGTGGGTTGGAGAAGTCACAACAGTTGATGTGCATTGCTTCAGGTCAGGAGCTGGCCAGGGATTTCACAGTGATGGAGACAACTTGGGGAGCAACAGGCAAGCAGGGGAGTGGGGAGGAAGGAGACTACTGACAAAAACCATAGGTCATGCTGAAGGAGTATATCCCTTCCTTTACCTGTTACTGAGCCTTTCTGATTATAAACATCTTTTTGGAAAAATATTGAAATCTCTGGTAGAAAATGTCAATCACAAAGAAATCCAGGTTGCTATATGTATGATTACCAGTGCAGTATGTACAAATTGGCTTTGATTTTTACATTCTCAGCCAAAAGGTATGTAATACCCATCAGAATCTCTCCAGGAAAGCTTTCTGTGCCTGCCATTAGGTGATCTGTTGCAGAGCAGTGAGCTAGAGGCCCAAGTGCCACTGTCCCTCTTTTTCACCTCTCTGACCCTGGCCGGGAGGAAGCTGAACAGAGGATATATAGAGTATCTCAGCAGCCCTGCTCTGGTCCTTCACCCATGGTTGAGCATAGCTCACACAACCTGATTCAAAAGAGTTCTCACTTAGAGCATGACTTGCTCTCCTGAATTGTAGTTCATCTTTCTAACCTCTTTCTATGGCCCTGTTCCCTGTCTGCAGCCTACAAGCAGCCCTGGCAATCACAAAAGGCAGCCTTTAGATCTGTACCTATATTTATTGTAGGTGAAGAAATGAAACCCTGTCACACTTCTGTTCATCAGAGCTTAAAACTCACATGGTACATAGACACCAGGCTCAATGTATGACCTGCTCTGCTGAGAACCTATCAGCTCATGGAGTAAAGAGCAATGCAAAAAGCTCACGGTTTTGCTATACTTAATTCACTAAAATTATACTGTGAAAACTTGCCATGTTATTACAAAGTTATCAGGCAATGCAGCTATGTTGTTTTCTGAGTCACCCAGCAATGCCATAGTACTGCAGCACCAGAGAGCTTAATAGCAGGCAGGCTTTGCTTTTACCTCCAGATGTCCTTGCTGCTGCTGGCTTATTCCATACCTTAATATTCTCCATCCTGCTCATTTGGGGTTGCAACTTGTCACAACCAGCAATGCTTCCCTGAAGGGGCCGTCTACAGCAGGGGCTGGTTCTGGTAGTTGCTTTGGTTTTATTTCAGCTGCTGCCAGGATTTTACATCACAGTCTGATACAATGTGAGTCTATCAAACCTTACGGTCGGGCCAGAGCAAAAGGCAGGAACTGCTAGCAGGACAGATTTGAGACTGGTACAGGTTTAAGGAACTTATTTCATGCTTGTGTCCTTGAGGGAGGGAGGAGAAAAAGCTGCTTCTCTGCTGCCTGCCCATGTGGCAAGGAGACTGCAGCAGGGGTTCATTGAGGATACCCGGCTCAGGCAGGGAGCAGTAATGCGGCCGAGAGAGCCCGGGTGCTGCTCCAGGGACACCTGCCGGCAGTGTGGAGGCTCCGGAGCCGCCCGGTCGGGAAGCTTTGGCTTATCCCTCACAAGGAGAGAAGAAAGAAGTGCCCCAGACATTTTCCCCTCTGTTAATAATGATACCTAGCACTTACAATGGTATATCACAAATCTTTACTACTTGTTCCTGTAGGAGTACGTAAAGGGTTTCTTTTTATGAAAAGAATAGGGTAAAGCCAGAGAAATTGTGTCTGTCTGAGGTCACAAAGCCAATTTTTGCCAGACTGGAAATAAACCTCAGGGAGTCTGTGTCCCAGGACTTTGCTCTTCCTGATGGATTATGCTGCCTCTGTGCTTTACATCAGTCTGGGTAAGTTTCATTTTGGCCTGGGGTTTGAGAGCTGGAATCTGACAGCGTTAAAGCTAGTACCACATTGACAGCTATGGGCCGACCTTACATGACAGCTGCTGTTCTGTGCCAATGTTTAGTCTCTCAAGATTGTGGGTAGGATTTTCTCACATACTTTAGTGAGTCAAGAGTCTGTTCATTTACATAGATTCAAGCGCAGCTCAAATGCTTTGGAAGCTCCAGGCACTGGTTTATCTGAAGTAGAACTGGAAAATCTAAAGGCAGTTCAGCACCAGGAGCGTCTGCAAGCAAACTGGGATCCAGGGGCTGATCCCCAGTGCCCCTGAGTTTTTTGCCTCTCTTGGAGTATCTTTGTCATTTGTCTTTTATAGTGGTGCTGCCCTACAGTGCTCTGTGATATGGCTTAGAAATTGCTCCTGTGGTCACTGACGCTGAGAGTTGGTTGTAAAGGAAAGCAAGTGCATTTTGCACCTATAAAGAAAGAATCGCACATAAGACAGGATTCAAACTGGTTTAAATGTATTTTTAATGTTACCATTAATCATTGGCTTTTAATTGGGAAGAGCTTTCTAATGAGGTCTTTCTGAAATGCCAAAAGTGGTACCAAAAATTTATGTTGCAGAGTAGTTTACAACACAGAACAAAACAAATACTTGGGCCTGATTTACGTAGCAAAAATTCCTTAAGTTTCAGTGAGCTTAATGGATGCGTTAGTCACTGCCTGCCTCCTGACTCCCTCACAGTCTGTTTGGTTTGCAAACAAAGCTAGATTTATGGAGCTTTTCTTTTGCTTACACTACTAAAGCTGAATGCATCCCAGTGTTAACAAAGCACCAACCAATGTAATTTTCTGCCTTAAAATACTGAACAAGTGATACTTTCCCGTTAAGGGCTAGTAAAACAAAATTATATTTGCAAGGTAATACGCTACTGTACGTTTCCAAATATTTTTGTATTGTGTACATTCTGTATATTTTTGTTGTAACAATATTATTTGAGCACAGATTCCATTAAAACAATTTTTTGTTGGTGTTTTTTTCTTTTTTTTTGTTAATACCATACCCTTGCCTTGATGGTTCCAAATATTTTTAGGAAGGCTAAATAAAAGCAAATACTACCAATTCCAGCATATCTGTAGCAGAACAGGAGCCAAAAGCTGGTCCCCATGACACCAGCCTTGGATTATACAAACTCATAAAACTCATAATCATTTTATTCCCATAGCTCCCAATTATCTGCTGTACAGTAAGCATAGCTCATTAGTGGTGGAAAGAGAAACACTAATTGCCTTTTATGCTGCTACTTTTGTGGAAAAAAAAAAATCCCGAGCTTTCAAACTGTGCGAGGTCTCTAGCACTTAAAGCTAAACTTGCGTTCTTATCAAAAGCCTGTGATTTGTGGTTTTGTTTTGTTTTCCTCACAAAGGTTTTAAATCAGACCCTTACCACTAATGTAAGAAGTCTTGCACATTTGCAGATTTAAGTACTAATAGCACATCTCAGCATTTTCTGACCTTTTGTGTGCTTCATCCTCAGCTTTGAATAGCTGATTGCTGCAAAGGCAGTTAAGTGTGTAATGCCTTCCAGCCATTCATGCAGCTAAACCACCTTCTTCTACGTTATATTTATGCTTTTGTTTAATTACCATTAGTTTTCTCATACCTTGTTCTCCTGTCAATATGAGGCTTGCAGGCTGCTGCACATTAAACCAGCAGCTTCTTTATAATGCGTGAATAAAAGTTTCTCAACAGGAGACATCAAGGACAGAACTTACTTGCAATTCAAAGAGTCACAGTATTAAGGATTTAAAAGTGTTTTACTGTAAACCTTATTATTGAGTTCAGTACAGCTGTGTTACATGAAAGCATTTAAATTTTATCTTTAACAGGCTTGGTTACTGTATGTATGTATACATATATACAAGCACATAAAAATTTTCCATCATTAGTTTCCATCAGTTCATAAAACTCTTCCATCTTAAAGCAATTGTGCTTTGTACCAATTAACGAGTACCTTATCTAAGAGCAGAAGAATGAACTTTGCAACTTTGAAAGTAGAATGTCCAAACTAGTTGCAAACTATTCTGTTCTCTCATATGAACAAAAATGACTGATTTGTGTAATATGATTTATTCAACTGTTGGAGCTTCTTTAGTAACCAGATCTTTAAGATTATCATTGTTTAATCTTTAAGATGTTTTACATATTTTATACACAGAAAATGCTTGCCATGTAACTTTGTTTTGTGCAATGATAGTAAAACAAAACAAACCACAACTGGCCTGACTTCCCCGGAAAAGGAGGACCAGTCAGCTGGAGAAGCTGGTAAGTGCCGAAAACTATATATGAGTTTATATAACAACTAATACTTACACGTTAAAACAAAACTCATGCTCCTTTATTTAGAAGGAAGACAAGTAGGCAGAACTAAAACTTACATTTAACCCAGGAAATATTTTTAAATATAAATTAAAACTTCTGACATAGTGAAACAAAGTAGCATGGAAGAAATTAAAGACTGATACAATACCCTTAAGATAGTGCAGCCTAATTAAGATTGGTCTGAATCACTTCTGTTTCTCTCATGAATTCCTCAAGGACGGCCACTACATTTTTGGCTTCTGGCATTTCTGCGTGTTCTACTTTAACAATCTTCAAAAGGATGTCTCCACTGCCGCAGTTCTTCAGGAACATGTAACATTTGAACAAGGCATAGTGGCTCATTTCAGCCTGGCGGATAAACCTCTTCAGGTTGTTAATGTCTTGTATAGCCTGTGAAGAGAGTAACAGTATCTTCTTATCCTTCTATAGAGAAAGGAAATATGCCACTATGTGGAAAAGTGACAGAAGAGCAGGCGCAAAAGCATTTGTAATAGGAATTTTGTATTGCTATTGTGAGTAATGTAAGAATTAAGCAGGTACTGTCCTTGAAGGGTATTACATTTGGATATGATCAAGTTGGGCTATCAAGGGTTCACGTCATCTTTATGGCAGATCAGCTGGCAAATTTTAACTACTGAATCTGTGCTGAACACATATGTATGGGTTCTGTCAACCAACCTATGCCAAGTAATAATGTCCTCAAATTAGAATTCAGAGTTAGATAATAACATATGAAAAAAATAATGTAGGGTATATTTTTTTTTCCTCCCTCCTTACTGTCCCTTGGTAACCTTGATGTCTCCCCTGGGCCTTAACATATAGGAAAAGTTACCTTCAATTTAAAGTTTTCCAAAATTTGCCGGAAGAGAAATGGATTTCCACCTTCGGCACCATTTATAAAAGCCTGCATCCAGTCCTCACAGAATCTGTTGCTTCCTGTCACATGTTCAAGAACACAAAGAAAAGAGGAGCAAGAATAAGCTTGACAGAAGGACGTTCCTACGTTCACCTAGTTTCATTGCTCTCACACAATGAATGATTGTAGTATACCCAAGCCACGAAATAAGAAGTCTAAGAAAATCAGCATTCACATGGAAACTGAAGCAAACACAGCTACACTGATCACACCAAGTTCTCACTCTTGAATTGCTTCCCCTACCATTTGTCAAAAATCCAGTGGACAAAAAAGTACATTTTGCAGGTTTCCCTGAAGTGTAAAATCACACCTTATTGTCCACAAATTAAATGCATTCTGGATTTTATTATCAACTATTTTCAAACCGTAGCTCCAGTGCATACGGCAAACAATTATTCTGCAATCCAATAAAAATAGCAGGCTCTAGTTTTCACAGAGAATTGAAACTTTCTGGGCATGAACCTGTGAACTGCTGCCTATCTTCAACCACCACGCTCAAGAACAGCACACTCAGTGTCTGAGAGACAGATAGAAGAGGGGGTACATGAAGTAGTCACAGCCACTATCTCACCTGCATTGTGCAACTGAGGCTGGGCTCCACTGCAGTCTATAATTAATGACTTTTGCTGCTCCTCAGTCATGGCTATACACAAGGAGGTCATTGTTCCTTCCTGAACAAGTCCTTGGAGGCTGGCAGCTGCCAGAAACCTAACCGAAAAATTCTTGTGAATTGCTTGTTTCTACACAACAGCAAAATATCAAAACCAGGAAAGTATCGCCTGCAGAACCAAGTTAGTCACAGGCCCCTTGGTTTCACAGCATCTTTACCTGCTAATGTCTTTCTCTGTTCTTTCATCTGAGTTTTTCACTTCCACAGGAGTGTAACTCAAAGCCTTTATGGAAGAAAAAAATGCTGATATTATTTCTGCTGCTTTGCTGTAGTTATTAGTAATAAATGCATAGCATGTATTTAACATGCATAAATTATACTTTAAAAATCTCAAAATAGAAGCTAAAAGAATATCTGTAGTATTACAGTCACTGCAACTATTTTTTGCATTCAGAAGAAATACAGAAGTTACACTTTATTAGTTATTCCATTAAAAAGGCCTTTTTTAAATCAGGGACTGGTTTTAGGATTAGTTTTTCTTTTCTTTTCCAGTGAATTGCATAAGTAACAGGCAGTAGAAGATTCCTTTTGGCTCAGAAGGATTATCACAAGAATAGCTTTCTCATTATATTTTTAATTTTCTCATTCTAATTAAAACTAGACACTACTAAGCAATTTAAAATGAAATAACCATAAAAAAATTACTTTTCAAACATTAATTTAATCCTGCTTGGTGGATGAAATTTCTAGGTATTGTCTTAGCAATAAAGGATGGAAAAACTATTTGATTTAAATTCAAAAAAAAAAAAGGAACTTTTCCTCATTTCCCTATCTGGGAAAGAAAATAAAAAGTATTTTAAATACAATGCTGGAACACTGATGCACACTGAGGTGCCTTCCAAACCTTTTTTAATTTTCAGTGTGACATATACTTACAGCATGTAACAAGAAGGCAAGTTTCTCCTGGAAGAGCTGTACCACTCTCTGAATAGGGCACACAGAATTCTCAAACCAGCTCTGCAAGTAGGGGTTAATGTAGGTCTCCAAGGTTTTTTGCTGTCATGAGTTGAAACATTAAAATTTTTACTGCAAATTAGATTTCTACACAAAAAGCAGCATATTAACAATCCATTCAGCCTGTGACATTTGGATGTCAAATCCTTTATTTCAACCGTGATAGACTAAAATCATGAGTTTGACATTTAAACCCACATTGATGTGGAGTATTGGGTAGGAAAGGCTCGATGTTTCCAGAATTAGACAGAATTATAACTTGGTATGATATATATTGAAGAAAGATCATCATGCATCAGCAGGAACGGGATGAGGTAGGGGCATAAAATGCATACTTCATTAGAAAAACTGCTATGAGAACAACAACAAAAATCTCTCTGCAACATTCAGAAGCAATAAAAACCTAGGTGGATGCTGCTAACCTACCATTAGACCATTAAATTTTATTAGTCATTCTTCTCTCTGAATATAAATACAAGTAACCTTTAGGAGATTTATAGTTGGCATAAAAGAGAAAAAAAAGTCCCTCTTTTTTCCTTTGACTTGTGTGACTAATAGCACTTCAGGTATTCATAGTCTCTACAGCAATAACCACAGCTCTCAGTGATACTGGTGTCTTATCCAATAATTTTTTTTCTATATTGTAAATCTCCCAGATTGCTTTAGTAATAAATTTGTGTAAAAAGTGGTTATTTTCACCACTTTAAAAAAATAATAAAAATCAGGCCTTACCTCTGGGTTAAAGTTTATCTTCAGGCTTTGAACATACTTGTCCAGTTCAAGTCTGAAAGTTTTGTTTTTAAGGAAAATAGGATGATTCAGGTAAGACCTGCATTTTTCCCTTTGAATGTATAGTTGTTATTAATACATTTAGTGATATACTGGAAGGTTTCCACAAACAGGCTAGTAGACTGATCTCAAGCAGGAAGAGTAATAAAACATTATGAGAACATTATTCTCATAAGAGTATGACAATATTACTTTTATATCAGTTCCCTCTCCACAGAGATAGCAAACTTCAAGGATATAGCAAGGTAAGGTAAGGTATAGTAAGGTAAGGATATAGTTCTAAACCTTTCTCTGAACCACCTAAGAAACAAATCACGTATTCTGGAGCTGAGATGTCTGATTCCAATGCTGCCATTTTTAGAAGATTTTCTTGGCGGAAAAGACAGTAGTAACAACCAACTTTATATTCTGGTATGCTATGCAGAAAACAAGCAAATAAAAGAAAAACAAAGAAAAAGAGTTTTGTTATAAAATGTTGTTATAAATACAGCACAATAAAGGATCGCAAAAAGTAGATGTACATGATTTCCATAAAGAATTTTTCACTCCCTAGCACAGTTTGGTCCTATACAGGGCTGTTCTGGACATCCTCTTCTTTCCTCAGCAGAGCAACCACAGTTTAAGTTGCAATAGTAATAAGTATATGCAACATTTTTCAATACCAAAACATTCAATTATTTATCACAGTATTTTTTTCCTCAAAACCACCTAAGGAAAGAAAAAGACAAGAGTGCCACTTGTACAGATAAGTTATTAACGGCAGCAATAAACTAAACGCATAGAATTGGGATTAAACTTCACTGCAGCGGTAGATGGCAAGATGTACAACGTTGCCAACGTTTCTTGTACTATCTAAATTGATTTGTGAATGAGAAGCTATGCTTTACCTCAGCTCCACAGTTGCTACATTCCCCATCCCTTCAAAAAGGGCTCCTTTGGTAAGGCGCTTCGCAATAAAACCACGCAGTTCAGTCTCCGCTTCAGCTGGTAAGTTGGTATCCAGCAAGGACAGGCTTTAAAAATAAAAAAAAAAAAAAACAAGATGAGATTTAGCAAAAAGCAAATGTTAAGGCCTGAGACAAAATAGAAATGTTAAGTATTTCCAGTAAGGAAAAATACAAACTCAAAGATGACTATGTTTAATACATAAACATTTAATGCATAAATTTTATCTGAGCTCTCCAACTGTGCCCAGAAAAGGTCCCCACCAGCGGTGAGGATGCTGTGGCAGAGGTTTCTGCTTTGGCACGACTTTGGTGCCATCCAGCCGCACCGCGCTCGCCACAGGCTCCCTGTTGGACACGGAGCGGGACATGAGCGGCGGTTACAGGTTGTACCCACCTGAAGTCCTCGCTGGAGGGTGTCTCTGCGGCCGGGCTTCCATCGCCGCTGTCAGCTCCCTGCTGCAGGGACCTGGAAATCCAGCCGAATTTCAGGCAGGGCCAGGCCTGAGGGCGTTTTGGGGCAGGATCGGGAAATGAGGGGAGTTGGGGAGGTCTATTCGAGGAAAATACAAAAATGGCAAGGAGAAAGTGAGCCGCTGCAGGCAGTGCCGCTCACCTGCGGCTGCGGTAGCCGTAGAGGCCGTGGTAGGTGTTGCCGTGCCGCTCGGGCCGCCGCTCCTCGCCCGCGCCGCCGCCCTCCTCGCTGCTCTCCAGCTCCCGCTCGTCGCCATCCGCCAGCGCCGGCAGCATCGCGGCCCGCCCGGGCCGGACCCAGCCGGATCTCACCGCAGCGGCCCGAACCGGAGCGGCCGTGCCGCGGTGTCCCGTTCCCCGGCAGCGTCAGCTCGCGGCCAACGCCGGGCTCCCCCTCCCGGCGCCCGCCGCGCCGCGCCGCCCCTGGAAGGTGCTCGCTCTGTGTGAGCCCTGCTCGCCGCTGGGAAGGGCAGCGCAGGCCGCAGCGACCACGCTGAAGCACCGGGATCCGGCTGCGGCACCAGGGACTTGCAGAGGCTGCTTCGCGGCCAGGCACGCGCGGGTCGCGTTTGATGCCGCCGCCGCTCCCGCGCTCGCGGGGTCTGTGCTCGAGCGGACACTGCGGCGCTGCAAACGCGCCCAGCGGCTGCAGCTGCCGCGTCGGGAAGGCGGCGGCGGCTCGAGGAGCGGGGCGCACCCAGCAGCTCCCTAGCACGAAGACAGGACCCCGCAGGGCTGCAAACCGGGACGGGGAGAGCACCCCCGGAAAGACAAAGCACGGGGAGCCGGGAAGCAGGTCAGGAGTTTTCCGTGTGATTTTTTTAAACAATCTCAGGACGACTCTGTCCGTCCCAACCCCGCACCACCGCCGTAGCAACAGCGCAACGACAAAATGGCGGCGACCCCCGGTGCGGGGGACGGCGCAGGCGGCGGGAGCGGGGAGCGCGTCACGTGGGCGGCCCTCCGTGCCGCGGTGCATGCTGGGAGCTCGGAGGCGGCAGGCGCGCGGCGGCCATTTTGTGCCTGCCTCGCTCCGTTGCGCGGAGTGGCGGGTGCGGGCGCTGCGGGCCGGGGCGAGCTCCCTTGTCTCCTTTCTGCGTAGGTCGGGAGCGCCGCTGCCGCCATGGGTCGTAAGAAGAAGAAGCAGCTGAAGCCTTGGTGCTGGTATCCTTCAGTGTGCGGCGAGGCGGGTGTGGGGGCTGGCGTGGGGGAGGGGAGCGGCGCGGTCCCGTCCTGCCTCTTCTGCTCGGCGCCTTGAGGTGCGGCGCTTTCTTTGCCCCTTTATCGTCCAGCCCGGGACAGGCCCTGTTTCATTTTCCTTGCTCCTCAGAGCGGCGGTGGAGCGTCGCCCGTGCTTCCTCTGCTCCCAACCGCCCTCCGCGCCATGCGGCCTAGTCCGCCCGCTGCCGCCTACCTCGCCTGAGGCCGAGGCCTGGGCCTAACCGCCGGCCTTGGCGCCCGCCTTCGGGTTACTGGGACCTTGGGGGAAACAGAGAACAATCTGTCTCCCCGAGAAGAAGGATAGTAGCAGAAGGGGGAAAAATCACAAATCTAATGCATGTGGGTATTCAGGGAGAACTGGGGCAGCCTGGCCACAGAAAGGTCTCTTGAAAACTCCTTTTCCAGGCTTTTGGATTTGCAGTTGTGGCATGAGAGTTGAACTTTTTTTTTCTTTCCCCTCTATTGAGAGCTTTATTTTTTGCCTTTTTGTAAGGGGTTGTAAGCCCCTTTGTGTGGGGATAATACAGATTTATTCTCTCTGAAATATCCCGATATGAAATCACTAATAAAATGTTGACAAAAGATCATAGATCAAGTTGCTTGTTTCAATAATTTTTGAAGGCATATGTGCTGCTTTTTTAGGTATCAATTTTTGCTTTGCTGGAAGTGAGAAGTGTACTGTAGCAATAACAGCTAACGTCGAATGTGCCTCTGCATTGCTGTGCAAGATGTCTGAGGTGTTGCACTGACAGATTAATGCTGACCTGCAGAAGGGAAACTGCAGTTTACCTCTTAAAAAAAAATCACTTTTTTAAATTAAAAAGCAGAAAATCTTTTGGCTATTTATGTAGTGCCATAAAAATTGATATATTTGGGCAACTGGAAAAGGAAGGGCATTTATTAACTAAAAGCTTTTTTTTTTCCTTTGTCTGTAAATGTTAGCTACACATACTACACATACTTATAAACATAACTATATAATAACAAGTATTTATCATCACTTTCTTTTCATGTTGTTCAAATTCATGTTTTTATTTAATATTCTAACCTTATTGCATGCTTATCTCTTCCCGGTTTTGTAGTCTGCATAATTATCTGGAGGGATGGAGGGAGAGATGCTGGGTCCTATGTGAAGCTTGATTTCAGACATCCGTGAACTACTTGTGGTGATTTTAGTGCTTAGAGATATTTTCCGTGCTTTCCTTTCTTTAGAAGAAGTTGCTTATTGCCTTACTGTTATGCTTTCCAGTGTTAAAACTCCTTAACAGTCTTCCATAGGTATTGTAACAGGGATTTTGATGATGAAAAAATCCTTATTCAGCATCAAAAAGCAAAGCACTTTAAATGCCACATATGTCATAAGAAATTGTATACAGGACCTGGTTTAGCTATACATTGTATGCAGGTAGGTTTTAAACACGCATGCAAGTTTTCTAGTTCTGTAACATTGCAAAAATTAGGGAATTTAAACATGTTTTGCGGGGAGGCTTCTGTAATGTTGAAAATGTGCTAGAAACGGAAGTCATCTGTTTCCACAACAGGAGTGCTGTGCTGTGTTCACACAATATATGCAGTAGAGATCTTCAGGCCATTTGGGGAAGTGGAGGAAGAGTGGGAGGAGTGAAGAAATTACGTGTTGCCTTGGTGTTCAGATAACAAGTATAGCAGCCGGTTTCGGAAGCAAATAGTAAACAGTGACTAGGAAACACAACTCAAAGAATAGGAGCATCATTAACAGGAAGAATCTTTCTTATGCTTCAAGATGCTTATTTCCATCTTGAATGTAAATGGATTGAAAACTACTTTTTTTTTCTTTCTCCCCCCTCTTTCCCCCCCCCGTTCCAATGACCTTCTTTAGGTACATAAAGAAACAATAGATGCTGTCCCAAATGCTATTCCTGGAAGAACAGACATTGAACTGGAAATCTATGGCATGGAGGGCATTCCAGAAAAAGATATGGAGGAAAGGAGAAGGTTACTTGAACAAAAAACTCAGGGTAAATTAAAATCTAGCTAGTTATCTGTCATTGCCATAACCTATTTATTAAATAACATTAACTTTGATGAGTGTATGTGTGGTGGTGGTGTTCATGTTGTTGTTCTTGCTGATTTTTTTTTTTTTTTTTTGAGTCAGTTTAAGTTGAATATTAGGAATTAATATTTGCCTCAATCATATAGACTAAACAGTTTTATATATATATATTTCGTTTTCTCTTAGATGATGAAAATTGGTTAAATGTTGGCCCTGTGTGATCATAGTCTTTCATACAAGTGCTAAGAATCTGCCTGCATGGTCTTACATCACTGCAGAGTAGTACTTGGGTTAATACGTTCTGTAACTGCAGATCTAGGCCTTTGCCAGTCACTCAGAGAGAAAAATTATATTTTACAGAATATGATTTACCTTCAATCTGACCTTATATGTCATACTGTTCAGCAGAAAGTCAGAAAAAGAAACAGCAGGATGATTCTGATGAGTATGAAGATGATGAATCTGCAGCTTCGACTTCATTTCAACCACAACAGGTTCAGCCTCAGCAGGGGTACATTCCCCCAATGGCACAACCAGGTTTGCCTCCTGTACCGGGAGCCCCAGGAATGCCTCCAGGTAACGTGTTTCAAGTTACAAGTTATTAAAACACACAGCGAAAGTGCAGACCGCTACTTGTACGCTGGAATAATGATCTGTCCCTTCTGACATTGAGGTGTTTTTTGCCTATTCTACACGCTCTCAATATCATATATTCCTGCACATTTTCAGTTACGAAGAAAATTGCCTAGTACTACTTGCCTCTAGATGGGAGCAATGTTAATATGCTAATAAAATTGATCAGTAGACAATGAATCTAAGCCAGATTTGCTTGTAAACATATTTCATAGATTAAATTAAGAAAATAAGGTTTTAGAGTATTTTCTAAATCATTTATATCATTTATTCCTTCTTAAATATCTAACACTATACTTTTTAGCAAATATCATTTAAGTTTTTTTTATTTCTACTTTATAGGTATACCGCCATTAATGGCAGGTGTTCCACCTATGATGCCTGGAATGCCTCCAGTTATGCCTGGGATGCCACCTGGGTGAGTATGAAGAACACTCGTATGACATATTCATACTCTGCCTTTTAAATCATGTGTCACAGAAAAAGTAAAGGTGATTAGGAAAAACCATGTAGGAACCTATGAACTCTTTAGTCTTCTTTGTGAGTATTAAGACTAAGGAAAGATCTAGAGGGCTATAAACCTACATTAAAAATAAGATCTAATGATCAGTTTATCTGTGAAATATGGTATCTCCTATTTTCATTGCCTTGTAAAATGTTGCTGTATTGGTTTAGAGCCTTCTAAGAAATCACTGTTGCATTGTGTGTTGTGTGTATATGTATATATGTTGTGCATTTACTTAAAGGTCATGGACCTAACCAGGAACAAATAATTAGCCATTTTAAGTTTTTCTTAAGTTTTGGGCAAATATAAGATGTCGGTGTTTCTTTATGCTTGTTTGGGATTGACACAGTACCCTATCACAATGTATTTGGAAAATCACCGTTAGATTTTTGATTTTGTCATAAATTTTCACAGATTACATCAACAGAGAAAATACATGCAGTCATTTTGTGGTGGAAACATGTAAGCATCTCATTAATGTAATTTTAGGTACATTCATTATGCCATTTTATGTCATATATTTGATAAGTTTGAAATTGTATAAATGAAAATCTCTGACTGTTGCCTAAGTCTATGGGGAAATGTCATATTTTGCTATTGTATAATATTTGAGGTTTTTATTATCTAAGTGAACACTTGAAAACTGAATGTTAAGAAAAAGGCATTCTGCAAGCCATCAATGAAAATAGACTCTTTTAGTTTATAAACAGCTATTTTGCACTAGACTACACCTACATGTTTTAGTGCTTTATACTATAGGACTTGTTGCAGAAGCTTACTTTTCACTAAGGTGAGAAGTTTTTTTTGGAACATAAATACTGTCTTTGAAGACAGCTCGATTTTGTCAGATGTCTTGTGGTTGCTCATCGTGAGCAGGATTTTATTCGACTTCCTGATATTTAGCGTTCCTTAAATTCTTTGCCAACTTTGAATTAATGTAACACCACTTAATAAAGACAGTTTGCCAGAAAACTGTAATCCACTTCCCTTTTGGTGAAGTCTTATAGAATGATGTTGTTGCATTATACTTTTACCTTATTTAATCTACACTTTTCAGTCTAATTGATAGTTGCTGAAATGGATGGCAAGACTTGCCCTTCTCCAACCACTAATCTAGAAAGGAGAAGCAGTTCTACATTGCCAGTCACTGCTGCATCTCCCCGTCTTGTTCCTTTGTAGCAATAACAGACAAGTTGAGGACAAGAAGGATCTGGGAAGCCTACTGCCTTACATAGCAAAGACTGGCATTCTTTTTTTTTTTTTTTTTTTTTTTTTAAAAGCGCAATATAAAAGTATTACCAACTGTCCCATAGAAGAAACTGCTTCTTAGTGGGGTTTTGGTATGCAGTTGGCTGCTGTATACTTGTCTATCTTGCTAAATAAAGTAGTAGTTATTCCTTTATCCTGCTTCCAATAATCCAATTTTGTGTCTTTGAAAACAGAAGGCAAGCTTAAGGCTTGGTTTGTCTCCTGTAATTTTCTATGTATTTCTCAATTGAAAAACACTTAATGTTGTACTCAGTTCATCTTTTATGGCGTTGCAGCCCTGTGCAGAAAGGATTTTCCTGTATTATAGGTTATATGTATAGTGTTGAAAAGGAACATAATTCCTAGTCTCCTCTATAAGATAAGGATCCTATAAGTGATTCTCATTTCTTCAGGTTATCAGTAGCAGGCAAAAGATTGCTTTAAATATGAAGGGAAATATTACTATGATTAGAACTCCTCACAGAAAAGTGTGGGCTCTGTTTTGCATATATACCTATTTTTAATCCAGAATGCAGGGAATATTTACTGTAACTGATACCAGAAATTTTCTTAATGTCTAAACTCTGCTTTCATTTATGCTTTGTGGTTAGTTTACAGGTTTGGGTTGTCTGGCATTCAGCTCACATTCTTAGATACTGTTTTTAAACTAATACTCTGGAATATATTTAACAGAGACCAGTTTTGGAAAAATGTGAAAGCTTGAAGAATTAATGATCAAGTAGAAAGAGCCTGGGGAATTTGTGCTTTTATTTTTCTGATATTGTTGTTTTTCTGGTAGAGAAAAATACCTTAAATGTGGAGTTGGCTGTATTTTGGGGTTGCTTCTGTTGAGAAGTTCTTAAAATTGTTTATTCTGCCTTTTATCTAATACAGGTATGTACCAGTTGTCTTAACAATTAATCATGAGTGTTCATACTAGTATTCCTTTTCTCTTTAATAGGATGATGCCAATGGGTGGGATGATGCCTCCTGGACCAGGAATACCACCTCTTATGCCTGGTATGCCACCAGGTAGGTTAGGGCTGTCAAACTCCTTCTGTGGTGAGAACTAAACTAATATAACTTAATGTTTTTAAACAAAGTCTGTTCTGTATAGTACTCTGTGCATGTGTGTGTTTGGATTATCTGAGAAGCTACACTTGCACAAAAGACAGGGCCATTTGGCACTATTGTGAATGGAAAATATGGAATATCATTTTGTTTTTCCTATTACTTTTCTGTTGTGTAACCTCTCTTCACACACAAACTTTTTTTTTCTTGTGGCTGCATCTGGAAAATCAAAATGATGTGAAATGTTTGTGAAATAACGTGATATACGCATGTAATGAACTTGCAGAGTAAAGAAACTAACTGGAAATTTCTTGCTATAGATAGAACAGAGCTGCCCAACCTCCTTTCTTGATGTTGTGGAGTTCTTTAAGCAGCCTCTAATTTCTGAGTATTGCGAAACGCACAACTTAAATCAGTCTTACTCAGCAGTAGCTGACTCTTGCCTCTGCATGGACATTTGATTGGTGATGAACTGCAGGCATTATCCTTTGTCATGATTTCTTTTACAGTTGTCTTAAGAACACATCTTTCCTGGGGGAAGATTTTGTTCTTTAGAACACTGTGAGCAACCTTTTCTAAAAGATTAGGCTTTCTTGAGCCATGTCACTACAGGTTCATTTGGTTTGTAGGTATGCCACCCCCTGTTGGCCCTCGTCCTGGGATGCCTCCAATGACGCAAGCACAGCCTGTGGCAGCACCAGGTATTCTGAATAGACCTCCTGCTCCTGCTGCATCAGCACCTACCCCTCAGCCTCCAGTTACTAAACCACTCTTCCCAAGTGCAGGGCAGGTAAGGTATCTCATAGCCTGGAATCTAGCGTACTGCATTATTTAAATTGCTACTGTGCCATTGTTTGCTCTTTATTACTGAGGAGACCCCAGACATAGCTTATTTTGCTTATTTTGTTGTTTTTTTTTTCAAGTCTTAATTCAGTGCAAAGCTTGATGGACTTATAAAAAAAAAAAAAAATCTTAAAACAGCCCTGAAACGACATGAAAGTTTTGTAAGCAAGTGAGGGAGAGAGGAATAGACAAAACATCTAATTCATATAGTTTGCCCTTTTAAAGGTGCTTTGGGTGGGCAAGGGGAGGTGTTAGTCAGCTGCAGGAATCTGATTGCATAGAACTTTTCCTAACATTTCTTGATTTTGAATCTCGACACCACTTGTTCTCTAATTCTTTTCATAATGAGCTCTTTACACATCTATGGACTAATTTATCCTATAGTTATATTTACCCTGTATTAAAACATTGCCTGGATGAAGATATTTTTTTCCTCAAAAAAAAAAGTGTATGAGGAAAATAAGGCAGTCAAAATTTATTCAAGTATTTTCGGGAGGGAAGTGGGGAAATGATGGTGGTTAGAATGGCTTCTGACTTCTATCATGTGATTACGCTTGCTATAACTCCTTTTGCTTTCAAGAAGTATGTTACAGAAACTTGATAGTGTCCTATATGCGTTTTGGACTTCTGCAGGGAAGAATTCATTTACAAAAACTAAGTCCCTTGCATAAGAAATCCTTTCATTTGGATACTTTCCATCCATTTGCTTGGAGACTTTTCACTGTTTCCTTTCTTTTATGCTACAGATGGGGACACCTGTCACAAGCTCAAGTACAGCTTCCTCCAATTCAGAAAGTCTGTCAGCATCTTCTAACGCTCTGTTTCCTAGCACAGCACAAGTACGCAGGAAGTCGCAGTTAAAATGCAATTGCTTTGCAACTTAACCCTTTGGACCATTCTTTAAAACCTAAAATTGCCTAAACATCTTCAGATAATTTCTGTTTTATTCCTGATTATGTTTAGCTGATAAAACCACAGAGTCCTTGACTGTGAGTTGCATCTTTTCTAGATATAAGCATGTCTAAGTGCCTGATTTTTTTCTTAGATGTTGTCAGAGAATGAAATCCTACATCCTGGTTCTAAAGGGTTAAAAAAGCATGAAAGCAGATAAATGCTTTTTAGTGGGCAGTGGATAGCTTGATGCATGGTCAAGGCTTTTAGTTTATGTTGTTTAATATGATGTATCATCATATAGGGAACTTTATAATTTGCATTACCTGTTTAAAAATGGAAATACTTTGCTTAGAAAGTTTAGTGGAAGAAATACAAAATGTCTGGAAACAAAAGCATTCTCTCATAAGTAAAACTTCAATTTGAAGTTAGTAGCATCTTGAGAGAGAACTTGGAAAAAGGAAACTTTTCTTGAGTAACAGATCTAATTTAAGAACAAAATAAAAAAGATGAAAATGACATGCTGGAGTCTTTAGTGGACTTCATATCTGCCTTAAGCTAATTCTTCAGACAAGAAGATGAAAAACTGTAGATGGATTCAGTACTTTGTGAAAATACTGCGGTGGCTTCTTTATTGAGAGAATGCTTAGAAGATGTACAGAGTAGAACTTTCAAGTGTTAAACACTTCTAAATACCTAGTTTCTATGAATGCTAACATTTTCTGTTATAAACTAATAATAGCTCAAGTATGCTAATAATGAGAGAACTGTGTATTGATAGCTATAGGCTTTTAATGTAAGAGTGAATCAGGAAATATTTAGACATTTACAGAACTCTGAGGTTAGAAAGTGTTCAGTAGTGTGTGGTGTTTTTTCTTTTTTTTCCTTTTTTTTCCTAATTGTGGCTTTTGATCTGCAACTCCTAGACCTTCCCGTGTGCGTGTGTTTGTGTGCGTGTGTACATATATATTTATATAGTATGTATATATTGGGTTTTATTTTGTCTCTTTTTCAGTTGCTTTAGTATGTGATAAGGCTGAACTTTACTTTTCATCAAGCTTATTTTAATTATGTATCTCACTGGAAGGTTTCGGAGGTCTAACAGATATCGCTTAAGTTATTTCTTAAACATTAAGAGATAAATATTTTTATTGATTTATCTTTGTGTTTCACAGGCTGCAGCTGCTGTTCCCGGTCCAGTTGGTACTGATTTCAAACCTTTGAATTCTACACCTGCCACGACAACAGAACCCCCCAAACCTACATTCCCTGCTTACACACAGTCTACAGCTTCAACCACTAGCACAACGAACAGCACTGCAGCTAAACCAGCCACATCCATAACAAGTAAGCCAGCTACACTTACAACAACCAGTGCAACCAGTAAGTTGATCCATCCAGATGAGGATATATCACTGGTAAGTTAAAATATTTTTGGTGTCTTGCTGAAAAATGCAATTTATGCTAACGTGGCTGATTAGAATTCCTTTGTGTTCTGTTTAGTAATAATAATGGTGAGAATGCAAAACAAAGTGCTAGTTAGTGGCTTGCATCCTCAAAATGTTTGTTTACAGAATGATGACTATCATATTGTAATGATACTGTTGCAGATATAAGCTGCTTTCTTGTTAGCAGTAAGCAGCTCTGTCAACCCAGGATACAGTTTGGATATTATTTCTGTATGTGAGTTAAGGGTGAAGTTAAGTGGCTACAGTTGATAAATTTATGACAAAAGATATAATAGCATTGAGACTACTTCAGGCTTACAGCAGTCAAAATCAGGAATTTATGGATTAAAACAAATTAATCTTAATTTCAGTTCAGTTATTTTTAGGTCTATGTGTATTAGCTTTGCCTTGTCCTGTTATGAAGGTGGTTTTTCTCACGTGAGGAAGGGGAGGATTTAGGTGCTCTCTGCAGAGAATGACATTTGACAGTATTAATACTTGGGAAAAAAATCCAGAAGTTAATATTCCTGTGTACTATGCTATTAATAACCTTCTTGAACTCTGGAGATAGTTGAAGTATTTCCCTGTGTGTGATCTACTTTGTTTTTATGTACTCTGTTTTGTTGAACGTCAGTCTCATGGTGTTACAATCATCTGGTCCTGTTTCTAGGAAGAGAGAAGGGCGCAGCTGCCTAAATATCAGCGTAACCTTCCTCGACCAGGACAAGCCTCCTTGGGTAATCCACCAGTTGGACCAATTGGAGGTATGATGCCACCACAGCCAGGAATTCCTCCACAGCAGCAAGGAATGAGACCTCCTATGCCACCTCATGGTAATCATAAGTTACCTAGTTTTCTTTCTTTAAAGATTTGTTTTTACTGTAAACTTTTTTTTAATACTAAAGTGGCAGATACTGTGAAGAAACAGCTTTTCACGTAATGCAGCTTCTGCCCACTGTTGAGACCTAAAATAGCTGCTTTTAAAAATGAATTCTTGTTTGCATCTTAAATGTTTTGTTTATAGGTCAGTATGGTGCTCATCACCAGGGCATGCCAGGATACCTTCCTGGAGCGATGCCTCCTTATGGTCAGGGACCTCCGATGGTGCCCCCTTACCAAAGTGGACCTCCTCGACCTCCAATGGGAATGAGACCTCCTGTAATGTCACAAGGTGGCCGCTACTGATGCTACTACACACGTTCTAATAGGTTTGGAGATTAAACCTTTTCTCATCTTGTGCTGTTAATATAGCCAAGCTTCTGTCAATTAAGGCTTCATTGTGACTTAAAAATAAGTATCTTCCCACATGCAAGGATCTATTGGACATTATTATTTTACACGGGAAAAATTATTTGGAATAATAACAGGAACTTTTCCTGATGTTGCAATTTATACTGTATGGCTTCTTTTTCATGTTTCATCTAGGTTTTTAGAAGTGAAGTATAGTAAATATGGTTCGTTAAATTGTGAAGGCGCTGGAATTACATGAACATACCATCTTAAAGGCAAGTTCTGTAACATTATGTTGCTATTTGTAAAATGATGCCTTCACAGCACTTCAAGTGCTGTTGGACTTCATGTCCCCAACATAGTTTGGTGAGGGCTGTAACTGTTCCCAAGTACCTGTACATTTAAAAGTTGGAACATGTAACAATATTTAATGTGTTTAGAGTTCCTCCTGTTTCAGGGTTTAAGTAAACTGACCCACTAAGGTCATGTGACTTTTCTGTACTGTTATAAACTTAATTGTAATAAAAGAGGAGAAAAATTTATATGCCTTCTTATTCATGACCGGCTGTGGACATCTGCCTGAAAGGTTTGTACGATGCATGCCATGATAGCACTTGGTGTAATGAATGTAGTTACTGGTGCTGTTTTGATAAAATCTGGATTCCTTGCTCTAAAACTAAGTCACTCCTTTAGCTGCATGTCTTGAGTAGAGAAAGACCTGTACACTTATTAACTCTCTTCAAAAATGAGGTTGCAGGAGGCACATCTTAACTCCTGGATGTAATTTCTCTTAATGGCATATGTTTCTTTTTGTGCTTTCTCATCCTCAATAAATTTTAAATGATTTCTCGTCCTGGCACTTATTTGCGAGATATAAGTGTGATTGCTATAAGATGCATCCTAGTGCCAGGTGCATCCTGTTAGTTCGTTCTTCAACTGACTTTTCCTTTAAATGTGCAAATGCATGAACTTCAGGAGTCTTTTAGATGAAGATTTCTAGAAGCTTAGGTGCATGACACACAGGTGAGCGATTTCCAGTTCATACTGTATTGAAGTTGACCTGCAAAAGAGAGAGTAACTTATTCCCTTTTTCAGTGTATAAAGGAGGGATGGACCTACTGGTATATTGTATACCGTATTTTTACTTTGAATGTGCAAAATGATATCAAAGATGATCTCTAAAGGTCCCTTCCAACCTTAAGGATTCCATGATTCTAAAATTTCCAATCTTACCTGTCTCTACACGCTAAGATGTCCTGTGTGCTATGATCAGATGTTGATTGAGTTTCCTGAATTATTGAATGGAATTGTCTAGAGCAGGAGACCTCTCCATCAATTTTCCTAATGGCAGTTAGCAAATATAAATCTTAACTGCTGAATTGATCATTTACCCTTTTTTAAGAGTAAAGTAATAGATGACTGTAAAGATGGTAATTCTCTGAATATTGAACATGACTGTTGATATGTACTGTATTTCTGATGAGAATGCAAATGAGCATTGTAGAGGAAAAGAAGAAAGAACTTACCTGGTCACCTTGTTTGAATGGGAAGAAAAGGGTGTAGAGATTTTCATTTGCAGGTCAACTTTAAATACATCTTCCAGCCTCAGACCTTAACTTTGTACCTCATTTTTTAGGGTATTTTTCCTTTAGGGAAGATTAGAAAGATAATTAGTGGCGTACACTTCGTAGATGTCTTTGTTAATAGGTGGTGCTTGGGGTGTTTTTTTTTTTTTTTTTTTTTTTTTGCACTTACATAAGCTTCATAGAGCTTTATTCTGTACTGTCTCTTAATAGTTCAGAAGTACAATATAGCTATAATACAGTTGTGTCTCTCAACTTCAAAGAGTTGGGATTGTGTAACAGCTCGTAAAGATGCTAGAGGATCCAGTTCATTTTAATTGCAACTGAATGGCCTTAGTTTAATCATTAAAAATTGTCGGGCACTTTTGCTGCAGTCTTTGTAAGACCATAACTCCAAGCCTCTATTGAGAAGCAGTTCTTTCTGGTCACTGGCATCTACTGATCACCTGTCAGATGTTCAGTAATTGGCTTGCAAATGTGCTGAGTGGGCCTTGATGTCGAATCTTTTTTAGCTCTTCTGTGCTTTATACATACGTATTAGCAGTGAAACTGTTCCGCATAAGTACATACGTCTGATGGTGTTTTTCCTCCTTTGTCCAGTAAGGTTAAATTACAAAGCAAAACACTGGATAAGTTAATGGTGTCTTACATTCATCCTTTTTTGTAATACTATGCATAATTCATACATTATAAATTGATCTTAACCTTCTTGTAAAAGTATGGAGCTTCTTGCTTTTTCTGAAGATCTTACTGCTGCTGTAAGGGTGCTTTACCATTCTGCCCTCAGTAAATTTAAATACTCTCTCCCTTCAGTATCTTCTTGTAACTGATTTGATTAGGATGTTGTTTTTGTATCCCTACTTTTCCTGGGATGGGTATTCGGGAAACATTATTGCATGCAGTCCTAACTCGGCATATCCTGCAAATTGTCTTGATTAAGAAGCAAGAGGTTACTGTAAATAGTGAATATGTAGCTGTTCTGATAATAGCATCATATTATAGCTATTACATAGACTTCAGAGCTTGTAGGCATTTGAAGATTGAACTTTTCTTCACAGTAATGTTACAATAATCCCTCAATTAAACACTGCCACCTACAGTCATGTTGTGCTTTAATCTGCAACAAACAGGCAAATTACTTTTTTAATTATTTTTTTACTGTTGATAATGCCTTTCCTGCTCCTGTCATTTCTGTGCTGTAAGAGCTGTGATGTGGCTGTCTTCAGTGACTCTTGTGCCTCTTCTATGTACTCTTGTGTAAACAGTCAGCTATTTTAATGCATATGTTGTCTATTGGTCACTACGTTCATTTCTTTGGATACTGCTTCTTAATGTTGAGAGAGTTGGATTTATGGTGCATTCCTCTGAAAGAGAAAACTTGCTTATACCTTTGAGTATAGTCTTTTTCTTACAGAAAGACTGAGGCTTTTTATAAAGCTTCATCAAGAAAACTGTGCCTGCAAAATCTGTGCTGTAACGCAGCCATGTCAACAGGTTTTTGCATTAGTTAATCTCTCCCAGGTAAGGGATCTCAGAGGCTTTTGTACCTCTAGAAGAGCATGTCTTCTCTAGCTGTTAATGGGACTAAAATGAAATAACTACATAAACAGAAGCTTTGTTTTTTTTGTTTTTTCCCCAAATTTGTCACACAGTAAAACTAAATCTTGTAAATAACTTTTGTCAGACCTCTAAGTTAGATATAATGCAGATGTGGCTGCAAAAAAAGTTATTCAGACGGAAAAGGATTTTTATATGAATTACTCAATGTTTGTGATATCTGACACTTTTATGAGGTTTTATAAATTATTTTATACATAGTCTCTTAGTATCCCTATGAGAGAAAAACAGTCTGCTGGTTTTTTTAGGGCAAAAATGATGAGTTTGACATGGGAAAACCTTGAAAGAGCCAAGGTTAGTTTTTCAGGTGTCTTAATATGCCTTTTTTTTTCTCCTCTACTTCTAGGATATCTTTCTGCCTTGACATAAGTTAAGTTAGCTGGTTTATATAGGTTATAATTTCTGGGAACTTTTTGAGGTTTGGTGGTTTTTCTTTGCACTTCACAGGTGAGATTAAGTGCTGATTTTTTAAAAAATTTGAGGCTTGGATGTATAACTATTAATTTCAGTGGATAACTATTCCTCACTCTGTGCATGCATAGAAGAGTATGAACAAGCTTCTAGAAACATATTCAACTGCATCTTACTTGTATGGTTTCTGCAGTTATTTGGAGTGTATGGAGCACTTGAGCAATATGAATATGAACTGTGTAAATTGCTTTCTCAAAACTTGGATAAAAATGAATGTCATATATAACCTGAAGTTATTTTACAGGAACCAGAGAATTCTGAATACAAGATAACGAAACATCAAGATTGCTTCAGTTTAAAAACAATAAGAAGGGCATTATGAGTTTTCTGTTAAATTGAGACTGATCTACCAGTCCATGAGCTGGGGCTGCAATTTGAAATGGTTACTTTAATATTATTTAATGTCTTAATAATTGTACTGGTCTAGTTTCTACATAATAAGCTAAGGCAAGGGTGAGGTTTTTCAGTGTCTGATGGAATCTTTAACTTAATCTTTTGCGAGCTACTATATTAAATACTGTCATTTATGGGAAAATGTCCCAAGACAATTGACTTATGTTCCATTGATCAAGTTAATAAGCAAAACAAACTGTCCAGTTCAGAAATAGCTACCAACTGTAAAAGGTTTAGTTTGGGGGTAACAAAGTTGGTGCAAAAGCAATCATTTTCTTTTGTTTGCTTGATCACTGGAATTTTGTTAACTTTTAATGCATGTCTTTCACTTAATTGGGTCATGTTTTTTCTAAAATTTAAATTTTTCTTCTTTCTATAGCCCTGCCATAGGACAGGCTGAGGCAGAGTCTCAGTGTTGCCCTGTTCAGTCTGAGGCAAGTGGGATTTATTTTATTAATTCTAGGGGCTTTCACAGCTTTATGGCTGTTGGATATTTATGTCCCCAAACTTGCAGCAAGTTTGGTGAAGGCCCCTAAATTTATTTTAATTTAGGATTTTTATTTTCTTTTGGTAGATGGGCTCTATATTAATATTTATCTTTTTATTATTACTGCATTTTTAAGAGTTTTAGGGGGAGGGAACATGTTTTAAGGTATTTGGGTATCCTCTCTTGCTGGAGTGTTTCCTTCATGGTGGTCAGATAGTCTTTCAGCCACATCTTTCCTTCCTCCCCCATCCTTCCCCTCACCCTCAGGAGTCTTCGTGCTGTTTTGGGTTTTATTAATGTGGCTTCATGTAGTCTTTGAACAGGTGGCATGCAAATATCAATTGCTAATGTTTCCTCTTCTGGGAAGTTCCGTTTAATAAAGTGTTTAAAATACTTAGGTTGTTAATGACAGGTGACATAAACTATAAAATTGTGTAATCTAAGCTACTTTCCTTGGAGAAGAGTATTATGACATGAATGCTACTACATTTGTGAGCTGCAGCACAACAAATATTAATGTAGAGCCCTATGAAGAAGCAGAGATTCAAGGTGATAAAGCAAAACCGAGGAGTGAAAAGGTGAAGTGGTAGATTTTTCAGTATACTGGTTTCAGAGAAAATCTTTTCATCAATTGTACCAAACTTCACGGTACATTTTCTGTTGGCAACAACATGTTGAAAATCATAGCATGCATTGGAAACTCCTGAGGATTGTGTAGCATAGGCAAAAATTGCTTAACACATGTTGTCACTTGAAGTTTTCTTTTGCACAGTGAGTAGCATAGAAGTCTACCTTTTATGTTGAAAAAAAGGAGCTTTTGTGCTGTTGCTGTCTATGCATTGTAAGTCTGTGGGTTTGGGTACTTGAGGTTGCTCACGGCCATCTTCAGTCTCGAAAGACCAGGCTTTGTCCAAGGAGATCTTGCAGCTTACCTTCAGTGACATTCTTTTATTAACAGATGTTGATTTTGGAAGGACTTTTCTTTCTTTAATTCTTTTTGTAACCCGTTTTAACGTTTGCGGAGTCTTTTGGTGGACACGGAATGCATTTCATTTCTTCTTCTATTTTGCTATAAGTAATGATGCACCTGTATGATTTGTTCTTCAGTTAAACTTGCTGCGAGTTTTTTTTTCTTGGTTACAAAAGTTGATTGCACATTCCTCTTATTCTCTCCTTTGTTTGTATGCTGTCCTTGATGTTTTTCTTAGAAAACCCTCCCCTCCGCCCCAACCCTGTTCTGCCCATGGAAAAAGGAAGCGTCCTCTGTCAACTGTTTTAAAATAATTAATGAGCACAGTGTGGTTTTTCTGATTTTTGTTGTGATGCTGCCCTTTGTAACAGTGGAGATGGGAACACATCAAGATATATGCTGCATCCGGCATTGCTGTTTCACATACTCACTCTATAGAAACATTTAATCTGGTTCCTATTTTTCTATCATATCTAAGCAAACTGTTTTAACAACAACAAAAATACCTGGTATGGCTTGTGCTTCTTGCTTAAGGTTAATCTGTTAAGATACAAAACTAGTCAAGTAACAAACGTACAATAGTGAACTTGTCGCAAGTTCCCTCTGAGATTGCTGCCTTGCAGAGCAGATTTTATCCAGCTGCCTGGATTTGCTTTGCCATAAGGCAGACAGAAAATTCAGATAAATGCTGCTTTGTCTCTAATATAGTATCTTGCTTAGATCCACACTTGGCTTAATAATGTAGTGGCAGATAAGCATTATCTATTTGGAACAAATTTCTTTGATCTGTTTTTGTTGAAGATAACTGCTTGTCGTGTTTGCGAAGTTTCTTTTAGGCAGTTTGTGTTTGCCTTGTGCCATTGTGCCATTAAGCTGTGACGTAAAGCGACTGATACTTTAGAGCAAGTGAACTAGTTATTTTTATTTTGGCATGATTTGAGAGCTAAATGTGGTTCTAAGCTGGTTTTAGACAATTTCAGAATTTCAAGACAGTGACATTCACGCTCTTTTTTTCTGAAAGAGGCATTTTGGAATAAGACAATTCCATGGGATATTACTGTATGAATTACAGGTTTCCTAGCACGGGGTTTTACTGCTACATTGCAAATACTGCTTGTAATTTCTGGTAGGTAGTCGACGAATCCTTCAATCTCCATTCTTTACTCCTGTAGGTCTCAGACAGGGCTTTTTCTGCTTCCTGTTTAGGAGTTGGTACCTTTAGTAGATCCACCCGTACCACTCTGTTCTGTTACCACAGACTAGTGTGTATGGTGAAGCTTGAAGTGACTAATAATGTGCATCTGTTCACTTGCTGCGTGTTTTGTCCTAAAAGATGTATGTGCAAGTGCTGCTGTCTTTCTTAGTCACAGGGATAGCATCCCAGCAGTGTTCCTTTCTGTGGGAATAGCTCTCAGCTCTTGGACCAGCTGGGCCCTCACCTTTAAAACAGCTTGTAAAATTCTCATTCAATGCAAGTAGTTTGTAGCTTGCTCTTTTTTTGAAGCTGTGTTAATGATTTTCACTTTCCTGCCTCCTCATGTGGATCTAAGGAGGATAGTTTAAAAAAAAAAAAAAAAAAAAAAAAAAAAAAAAAAAAAAAAAACTTGAGATTTCAGTGTTCAAACAGTGTTCAGTTCGTGTTCTTACTGACACTCCAGAACGTGCTGATAGTTGTGCAGCAACCTGTAGTCAGGCTGTGATAGTCTCTCTTTTGCGTGTGTATTTTGTTTTCTTCCTGAGGATCATCATAGTATTTTTAATGACTGTATAAGTATTAATGGAAGGGGGTTCTGGAGTGTTGGTTTTGAGTCATACGGAGATACGTGTTATTTGAAGGTCAAGAATTGCTGTAAATCTAAGCTGCTTAATTGGGAGAATTTGCACCCAGTGGTCAAAGTGAATGAGAGATTTGGCAAATAAAGTACCTACAATGCATGAAGTTTGTCTTGCTTTAGAGTTGTGATGAACACAGCGTGTTCTGAGCCATGCATAATAAAGGCAGGATTCTTTAAATACTGTGGGGAGTACAGAGTTCTGTGGTAACCTCTAGAAAGCTTAAAACGTGTATGTATAGATACTTGTAAATCTGGAATGGAATCTATCAAGTAACTACCTTTTTTCTTTTTTTTTTTTAATCTAGAGTAAATAGATACAAGTCTGAGAGAAGAAAATATTTGAAACAGCCATTGTAGGGATCAAGCTAGAACTGAATTGATTCCAAAGTGTAATATTTATAGCAATGAACAAGCTCTGGAAAAACAGCTTGTGAGCATCTTATATAGTACACTATAAAAGTCAGCTTTATTCAGGCTCTTGATTGTCAGAAAAGGTAGAGTCTTACTAAGACTACCAGAACACACACTCAAAAAAAAAAACCCTGTTGTGCAGTGAATGCATTTTTACTCTTTATTATGTTACATGAAAAATCTTGGAACCTCTATTTGAGGGGGCCAAGCATTTTGGTCTGCTGCTTTTGCAGAAAGCCACATGCTGTCTTAGACTATGTGACACGGGATGTTCTTCAGTAAAGTTCTTCGCCTTCCAATTGCTTAGGCAGCATTGACCTTCACTGTAATAAGCAAACTGTGGTGGCTCAGATGTTTAGACATCTGAGCACTGCAGAGATTATTGAGGTATTTACGCCTTCTAGGCAAGTTTATGTAACTGTCTCTTTGTTTTATGAGGTCATTTTCAGTAGGAAGAATCAGTAACACTGCAGTTCTAATTCATCATCATTTATTTCTCTGTGAATAGTTGTTGTTTCTCAGGATTTGAGAAAAATAATTTTGTCAGGAGAATTCTAGTGCAGGTGCTAACTACCCCCCCTACGCACTCACACACACTCACACTCACTGTTGAGATCATGAAATCTTCCTAAAAAGCTGCTCTTGCAGGAAGTTGCAGCATAACTGTGTTAGCCAGCTGCCAAGCTTCTTAATATCTCCAGTTTTGCTTATTGAATTGGTATAAATCTCAATTTTATTCATGGATGCCATTAAAAAAAGAGAAAAGGAGGGGAGAATATCTCTTCTATTGCTATTCTCAATATCCAGTATGTACATATTAGTTTTAAATAATACCATTTTGGAATGAGCAGTCGTCATTGCAAAAAAATACACCATATAATCAAAAATTATTGCCTTGTTTTATAATTCAGGCAATGATGTGATGCTTTCAGACATAGTAAGATGTCACGCGAAGCTTTTTTTTTTTCTTGGTAACTTCATAAAAGTATTTATTACTTGAGCACCAGATTCCTTAGCTTCCCTCCCATAAACTCTAGTGGAAGGGAAATACATTTTACCCTTTAATCTATGAAAATGATAGAATAAGAAGACATAAGATTGCTTGGTGAAGTACCATGTCTGTCTTAAGTATTTTGTTTATGTTCATGTTAGGCAACAAGGTCACCTTGTTAAAATTCTGGCTTATTTATCAAGAAATACCACAGTAATGAAGGCAAATTCAAGTAGTTTCAGACTTGCCTTTGTATACCTTTTGTTGAGGGACAAATTGCAGTAATTTAATAATTGAATTTTAGCTGCTTTTTTTTTAATGAAAAACTAAGTTGTGAGGAAACTCCTTGGTTTAATGCAATTTGTGTTTTTGTTAACTAGCAGCAGAATTTCAGCATTTGCTACTTACTGGTAGAGAAGAAAAATCCCACAGCACTGCCAGTACAGGTTAGTTTAATCTGTAAGTACCTGATGTTCCTATTTGAAATACTCTGTTCAAATGATGCCGTTGAAATACGTGAGGAGGGGAATTCTGGTTTCTGGTATGTGAATGTGTCCTTACTGTTTACTACTGTTTTCAGTAGTGAAGAAACTTTTTCCCATAATAATCTGCAATGACTTTAACCACACCTGTGGATTGGCAATATTTGCAGTCCCTTTTAAACGAGATTTTATGTAGAACTCTATGAGAAAAGGCAGTCTGCTTTTACTGAAAAACATAAAGACCTTTGAAATTGAAGATAGTTCTTAAGTAACATGGTGACTACAAAAGAGGTAATGTTTTAGCAGTAAGCCAACTGTAGGATATTATATTCATAGTCTGGCACAGAAAAGAATGCTATTGGTAACAACCTGTAGCAGTAAGTTTTCTAGATATTTTAAATTACTACCTCCTACCAGTACATTTCTGCACCATCAGGTATGTTTTCAGGGAAAACAGTCGTGACTTTAAGTCCATTTCAATACATTATAGGCTGCCTACAAACGTATTGGGTTTTTGAGCTGTTCTATCTTATTCCAGCTCATTTTTTTCTTCCTTTGTCCACTCAGTATTTCTAGAAGTTCTTTTTATTTTCATTGTCTTCAGAGCATTTTACTTAAAGTAAGAGAGAGAAGATTCTTCGTGGTTCTCTGTGATTGGATAAATACAAGACCTGCCTCCATTAATCATTTATTTAGAGTGCCTCACCTCTACAGTGTGGGAGGTGGAAATTGATTGTATGTCTTTGCTCTGATACATGGCCTGATGATAAGCTGTGAAACTTTCTGTACCTTAATTCACTCCTCAAGGATACCTCATCACCCAGTGAATTTGAGGGACTTTTGGAATTGGTGGTGGGTAAGTGTGTGCAGACGAGCAGCTGTTAGTGGGGCGCCTGCGTGGGGCACCCTGCCTGGCACCTCAACACGCTGGAGTAGATTCGTTAGTGACCCCATAGGCTTGGTGCTTCCAGCAGTGTAAGTGGTTTCAGAGTTTTGAATTCTTACACAACTTTGCAGAATCCTTCATACTGGTCTGTGAGTGCATGATCAAAAGAAACATACCTTACAGCTTTTAGAATAGTTAAAAGCAACAATAGTTGCATTAGTTTGTATTTCCTGGCATCTTCTCTACATCAGTTCTGGGGCATCTACGCTAACCTCTTCTGTCTACAGGAGTAGTTACATGCAGATCTGAATAACGTTAAGTGGATGTTTCTTCCTAGAAGAAACAACTGATGCAACCTTGCATAACAAATTCTATAACTGATCTGTTCTCTGCATCTCCTAAATACTAAATGCAGATGTGCGTGACTAAATGGATTTATTTGCTCTGAGACCATTATCTCTAATAGAGCGTTTGCATCTCTCTGTTGACCACTGAGGCTGACGCTTAACACTGTAAGTGGCTCCAGCCTCAGCTGCCGAGTTAACCTGGGGACATCTCGGCTCCGGCAGTGACCGCTGACCTGCTGAACTTGCTCCCCAGCTTGCAATGAATGGGAGTAACTAAAAGGTGGTGTTCTGTGGTGTCTCCTTGCCAAACCACAGCTCCGTGGGGTGCTCTGACCTGAGCTTTGGTAGCGGGTCCTCTTTTTCTGGAACATTACGGTGATGAATTATAGCACTTGCTGGTAGAAGGAAGCTTACTTCTCTTTGAGTTTGTACTGCAGAGAATTTTCCCAGCTGGTGTTAACCTGTCGATCAGCTGTTGGTCCTGTGTTACAGCTGCTGCCCATGGTGCACCTGGGGAGTCTGTCCCCGCAGTGACATGGGCAGGGAGAGGGCAGAGGCTTCACGCTGCCTCCTTCACACTTGGCCTCAAAGGTCCCTATCTCTCACCAGAGGCTCCCCTTGCAGCAGTCAGTCAAGGCTCTGCGGTTTTTGATTGTATTTTAAGGTTTTGAAAGAGGCGTGACCAGACTATGGCCCCACTCAGTGTCAGTACAACCAGGAAAGACTGTGTGCTGATAATCTATTTTTTTAACATAACTTCATCTTGTTTTTATGGAAGTAGTATGGAAGGGATTTGATCACTGATCTTTTTCAAAAGGCAGGTGGGAAATACTGGTAAGTTAATTCCACAGAGTGAGAGACTGGTAAGTAAATGCATCACTTCAATGCATGCAAATAAGTGTAACAGTAACTGTGGCTTAATTTTATAGCATTCGGTTTATAAGGAAGACTTGAAAAAAATACGGCGCTAACATGATTTGCATCTGTTGGACCTTCTCTGAGCCTCTGTCTACCTCTTTGTAGCAGTCTCTGATTAAACACCAGTGAAACACTGTTTCTGTGTATTTTTTCCCCTCCTTGAGGACCTATATAAGATGCTGAAGCAGCTAACAAATAAACTGCAGTAAGTATTTAATTACCCTTCGGTGTTTCAGTTTAAATAACTTGTACTGGTTCTCTTTCTTATAAACTGTGTAAGAAGTGATTTGTATGAGCTTTACTCTCTGGATTTTCAATCTTGGTGATTTTCTTTCCTCTGTTAGTCTTCTCTCCTGAACTGACTGTACAAAAAGTGTAGTTATTTAGGTTAAAGGGTCTGGGACTGTGGGAAGAGGTAGTATGAAAACACCACTCGATACTTAGTAGAGGAGGATTAAATCTTTCAGAGCAAAACTGGAGAGAGGATGGGCTAGCTTCATCTTGGAACCAGCGCTTGGCACTGAGCAGTGAGGATTTCAACTTCCAAGGGTGAGAAAAGGTTAGTAGGCAGTTTGGTCTTATTTAACTTCTACTGTTAACTGATTTCTGAGACGTACAAGGAAAATTGATCCATGATCTTCATATTACAGTATTTGGAATGAGTCGTTGAATTTGATGTGTGAAATGAGCTCAAGTTTGAATTGAGCACCTCCTTAAGCGGAGCAGGATGGGGAATGCGGCATCCTCCTTGTTGGGGTTTATGTTGCTGGGTTTTGGCACTAGGGGAATCGGAGAGTGCAGTTGAGAGGCAGGAAAAAGACCTCAGTCCTAAAAGCTGCCTTGAGGAAGGAGCCTTTTCATTCCACTGGTGTTGGGAGGGTTAGATGCGAGCGGGTGTGGGAGGACAGAGCTGTTCTCTGCACTGTGTCAGCTTGTTCTGCACGGGTTGGGGAGGGGGGGAGACTTGAGTGCTGGAGTACGAGGTTGGGCTGTTTTCTCCAACTGTGTTCTGTTTTTATTGGGAAAAGGGGTGAAGGAGGCTCATGCTTTATAATGTCTTGCTAAGGCCAAAGGATTTGAATCTCAGCCTTTCGTTTTATGGGGAAAGGGGGTTATCGTTGAGAAGCAAGACCTCAGATTTGGGAAGTGGCCTTTGGGCAAAGGGTCTGCAGCCACGACTTGGGGTTAGGGAGTCTCCTAGTGTCCCAGGGGCAGCTCCTGCCTCGCCGGCGGTCCCGGGCTTTGGCTCTGCTTCCAGGGCCTGGGGGAGGGTGAAGGGTGCACTGGCTTCATCCTGTCTGAGCCCTTGCTGCTGCTGCTGCTACTCTAAATTCACTGCGGTTTGCAATTCCTTTTACAGGTATTAGCTGTGCCCAGATCGTGACCGAAGGAAAGCAAATCAGTCCCTTTTTGTTGTTAGAGCTATACGTACAGGTAGGATAATTCAGCTTGTGTAGAAACTTCAGTTCTACCTGAATGTTACTCACACTTGGCAAACAAGGCAATCCTGCAATGCTGACAGGCTTTTTATTCCTGAAAGCTTAATCTGAAATGGTTGCAGCCATGGTACTGACCAGAATTCATTTTCCAAGTTAGTAAATCAGATTAGGTGGAGTGAGAGCGCTTTCAAGAACGGGTATGTACACAAGACATGTCTCTAAGCTGTGGCCCATGGCCCATGTTTGGAGGTAATGCTCCGAAACATCTTTCCTAGTATTGGAGTTGTTGTATTGGACTGAGTTGTGTTAGTGTTTTATAAGCTTCGGTGGCAGTGTAACTGCCTAGTTTCACCCCTCTCCACATAAAGATATATCTAGTAGGGTACATAGTATTTATAGGGAGAAACCGAACAAGTATGATACCAAACTGAAGTTGGAGAGCAGGGACGAGGGGTTGCTTTTAAATTTTTTAAATTATCACTGGTAAGTGCAAAGCCACTTAACTGCTTCCTCTCTGCTGCTGTGCGAGGTGGCCTCGTGGTTGAGCAGGATGGGGGCTGGTACAGGCGGCATGGTGCCGTTGGCAGGGAGCTCTGCGCTGCCTGCTTGTTCCAGTGGGGCACTGAACTGCTCCCAATGGAAATGCAGCCTTGACAGGTACTTTGGGGGTTGGTCCTTTGGAGCAGGCCAGATTGTCCCTGTTCATCTCCTGCTGTATTTGCTCACTCCAGGCCAGCCGGGCACTGAAGGAGGGTAAGGGCCTGTGTCCCCCCGCAGTGGTCGCTGTCACTGTGGGCAGAGCCGCCTCTCACATGGCCACAAGGTGAGTGGTGGTCATGGCCACACAGGCGCCCACAGGGAAGGCTCAAGGCCCTCGGGGCAGCAAACAGCCACTCACCCAGGCCGGGCAGATACGGGGGAGCTTGGGCTTCTCCCCTTCACCATCCTGCTCCAAGAGCTGCTGCCGCAGCACAGGGCATCCGCCTCCTTTCCAAATGGGCAAGAGAAGGTGATCCTTTCCTGAGGATGTTTTATTTGAGTACAAGTCTTTATTATTTAGTAAAATTATAAAAGAACTTTACATGAGAAATACAAAAATATGAAATAAGCTTTGATATTTTTTTTTTTTAACTACCCTTTCTTCAAGCTTTAGAAAGATGTAACTTGCTCAGTTTGGCATCTTAGGTTAAAATATTTGCTCTCATACATTAAAAAAATTAGGAAAACAACTTCCAGTAAAGTAGCTTCAGAAAAGTGGCTGTATGTACCCAATCATACATAGAGCTGTCAATAATTTACTGTTTTAAGATATAATGGCACAGTCAGATGCATTTACTCCCCTTTCTTAGCCATTAGTGGGAATAGACAAATGTGTCATTGAAAGATGCAGTATCGCTTTCCCTTTTCCAGTTGTTTAGTATGATAAATTACAAATACAAAAGATTGAGAAAGGCTTGGCATGCTTTATACTTGTACCATTTGGATTTAATACCACATTGTAGTAAAAATTAAATAAATATAAATATGTTAAATAAATATATCATAAAAGAACACCCCCACTTGTATCATATTAGAATTGCGCATTTCTTAAATGCTTCACACACGCTTAATGCTTTGTCACAGCTTTAGGGCCAATGAAAAGAAATACTGCATCTTTAAAAACATCAGCCTCCCTCAGACATAATTAGCTACTTGAACAAAATAATAAGCTGCTTCTACAGCTTAATCTCACCTGTTAAAACACTGCCTCTGCTTTCTCTGCTCGGTACCTGTCTCGTTGCTTCCTAGTTTCTTTGTTTCCCTGTGAGTCCTCTTCCTTCTGGAAGAGCCTTTAGTAGGAGGTAGGAAACACTTGCAGGACAGAAATCAGTCTCTTACAAGCAGCTGATATCAATGTATACAAAGTTTCTTAAGATTTTCTCTGATTTAACTCAACTACTGTTCAAATTCTCCTGTGAATACTGGGTGATATTTGAACAATAAGCCTTACTTTCGAAGTAAATAAATGTTTTTAACTGATTTGATTTTTCTAGTCATTTCTTTTTAACATAACTTCATTGTTTTTGCTCCAGTATGAGGGTCTGATGTTCCATGGTAATTATGGAAAAAAAATTGTGTTCTCTTTCCTGGTTTGGATAACTGAAGGTGCTGCCCTTTCCAATCTCGGTGCTGGGCCTAGGGCAGCCTGTGGCAGTAGTGCAAGGGCAGGGTCTGATGCTTTGCTACAACTAAAAGGTTCCCTCTTGCAGATCTCAGTAATTACATGATTTCAATCACTGTGTTTTGATTCTGTGCAGAAAAATACATGAGTTGTATGTAAGATCAACTACAATATAGGAATATTGCGTGATGGTTATACCTCTGTCTGTACTCCACTTCCATTGCCTTGGGATAACTCCATCATGAGGGCTCGTTGCGTCTGTGAAGTTACCCCTTACTCCTTGGGCTCCTGCCATCTGCTCCAGTGTAGACAGTACAAGGCACTTTTTGGACGCTTGGTTTCCTCAAAGAGAATTCAGCTCTTCGGTGATCCCACTTTTCCCTGCTAAAGTTAGGCCTGTTTCACAGCCCTGTGCTTGGAATGTCTGTCCCCCAGAGGGGTGCTCTATCCCCCTTGTTTTCAAACAGGGTCTCATGGCAGACTGTTCCCTGCAGAGTCCTGACTATAGTAATGCTGGAACAGTCTTTCGTGGCAGCAGATCTGCATGGCTTTGTAGGTGTGCAGGAGCAGGTGAGGGAAACGAACGGTGAAGTAACATACAAACTCATCTGGGATGGAGCCCAGTGTCTCCTGAACTTCGGCAGGCAGTTCTCTGTAATGGTGCTTCTGTAAAAGAAGAACAGGGAAGAACAAAATGCATTTTCCTGGACAAAGTTGTTTGTAAAGAATCTCAAAGGCTAAAATGGCATAAGAGAGCAAGAGAATGGCAGCAAACAAGCAGAGACAGACTACGCTTCATGGTGTTAGCCTAAAGGGGAAGAAACAAGTGCAGGGAGCCTGAGTTTGTTTGGTGCACAGCCAGAGCACCTTGGATGAGCATAAATGTGCACAAACCAAGTCCTTTACCTTATTTCTCATTGCCCTCAGAAGATCGCGTACTGAGCCCCCTTTGTATGATCTGAATTTGCGAAGATCTGGAGGGGGAAAAAAAAACCACCTTTTTATGCCATGATGTTATGTTTAAATTGCTGGCATCAAAATAGCTGCATAGATGTTTATAGATGTGTTTTGAATATCTTCATACATTTAATCACATAACTGCTTGGCTCCCACATAAAGCTCAGCTGCTACAGCTGAGACAAAGCCATCCTTACGTTCCTCTCCATGCAAATGAGGGAAAAACCCACTATCAAAGACTAACTTCATTACCTGTCTGAAGAGGAACAGTGATGTGTTCTCGCCAGTCCATTTTCACCACTTCTCTTCCTTTTTTTTCTAATTGCCGGACAATTGGACCATCTAAAGATTCTTTCTCTATCCGGTCGCTAACATCCTGGAACAGTCAGGTTATTAGTAGTTTTTACCTATAGCTTTCCTGACAACTTAAAATTGCGCCTTGAGGCTGATTACAATATGCCTTGATCATGAAAGTGTAATTCTGTATCTTGACAAAGTGCAATGGGAGGAGGTTCTGCTGGCAAGGGGACAAGAAATGATTCTGAGCTGGTATCTCATCCACCAGGGGAAGAGCCTGGAAAAAAGAGCCTTAAGTCCTCAGCCCGTTCCCAGTGCAAATCAGGACTCTAGGTCACCACCGTGGTCAGCCCTACACCTAAAAACCTGCTTGACAAAGCAGCCCTGTATGTTGCTCCCCAAACTATTACAGGTCTTCCTCACTTACATTGCTAACAGTGTGTCCTTACAGTAAGGTTGGGGACTCTGTTCTGAGCATTAACAGGTTAGAGAGGGAATTAAAGATCTGGAAAAAAGTTCAGAGCAGTCCTTAGCACTGAAATAATTGAAAAAGGTCAAGACAAACCTGAAAAAACTGGAGCTGTTTTTCTAAACTCCAAAAGAATGGGTGTTTTAGCACACAGCTGGCAGACGGACGTTTCTGAGGGTCCATGTTTATCATTTGCTCTATTAAATCACGAGCAACTATGTCTTCTGCAAGGAAAAGGGTGATAATTCATAGGCTGTACGGAAAGCTTTAGGAAACCATGTTTTCCTCCTACTTCCGATACAATCGTGACTGCTTGGCCATGCCACCTCAAGCACCACCCTCATATTTGCACAACACCATAAAGGCCAGGCTGTTGAAATAGTGCAATTATGAAGAGCAAAGTTCAGCTCTTTCCTACCCATTAAATAATTAACCCTGGCACAGTAAAGGTGGCTGCATGCTAAATTTTGTTTATCACTTCTTTGCTTTTGGGCAGTAATGTCAAGCCCTTTAAGACTGTCGAATTTTTTTGGGGGGGCGGGGGGGGGCAGAAGAGAATTCTAAGTATAGTTGTGTAACTTCCACCATTTCCCAGTTAAGGTGACTGCAGTTCACAGCTTCGCTGTCACTTCTACATCTAGTACCCACCAACACCTCACCAAACTCCTGTAGCACTTGGTGTTCTCACCGTGTCGCTCTGCACTTAGCGCGTCCAGGCTGTATGCACCAAGCAGAATGTTGGCTTGCCGCTGCAGGGCTTTACCAAAGGGATGGCTGCCTTCGGACACCACGTAATAAAAGACACAGCCAGCTGAAAAGATGTCCACAGTACATGTCTGCAAATAAATAACTTCTTACAGCAACTGCACTTTTCCCTCCCTGCCCTTTCTTCCCCTAACACATTTGGGTCATCATCACAAAGGTGATGTTTGTGCACCTGAGGGCAGGACACCTTCCAGAACTGCATCTTTGGCTCATGAAACTAAGTAGTTTGGGGGTGGAAAGCTATATTAAAAAAAAAAAAGTGCGTGCTATTGTTATGTCAGCTGCAAGCAACACGAGAGTGCAGGCATCGCTGACTGTGACCACTTGCCCTGCACTGTGTTTTTCTCTGGTGGAGGCAGAAGGCTGAAGACTTACAGGGTTCTCCTTGCAGTCTTCGCTCAGCATCTCGGGGGCGATCCAGCCCTCAGTGCCGGGCACCCCCGAGCGGCGACTGAAGCTGTGCCGGCCCACGGCCAGCTTCTTGCACAGCCCAAAGTCCGAGATCATCGCTTTGACCTTCCCGTGTGCATTAGGCATCGAGATGAGGATGTTGTGGGGCTTCAGGTCCCTGTGGACTATTACAAACATCAGTTTAGTCCCTCCAGGCAATTCCCCGTACCACAGGTCAGCCTTTCATGCATTCACATTGTTATCTTTAGATAAGGCTGAACTCTATTTTTATTAAATGAAGGGCTTTTAAGCTGAAGCTATTATCTTTGATAGTGGCTCATCACATCATTTTTAGGCTAGCACCATTCTCCTCTACACAAAAATGTGGCGCCCTGATCAAATGGTAACGATAGCTTTAATCCTCTGCAGGCAGCACTTTCAAAGGTAGGTTACTGTGTCAAACAAGTGCTAGAATAAAATCATGTCTTGCTGCCAACAACATCTTAGCCACAAGGCTCTGTGCTACTGGGAAAAGAGTGTCATAGAGCAGATGCCAGAAGGGATGGGAGAGAGCATGGGAGAAGGGATGTGTGAGCATGGAGAACAGAGCTGATGACTGACAGAACACACTCTTCACTGATTAAAAACATGATCTGCCTGCACCAGGATTGTCTATCTTACAAGCAATTCCGGTGCCGAGACAAGAGGTAATTCCTACCGATACTGAGGGAGTGCAGGTAAGCGAGCCCAGATGTCGTCTGTTGCAGGAGAGCAATGGGTTGTAAGTCATGGTGACTGAAGGCCTTCTGTTCAACATACTATAAATTAGAACACAAAGGCAGATAAAGCATAAAACAATGCTTGGCATTAGCCTCCACCCCAAAAGCATTAAACTAAGAAAACTGCTGGCAATCTAATGCTAGCTGGTTACATGCTTGTAGGAGCCATTTTGCTCTGAAAAGATGATCTCTGTAACATCCATCAGAGGCAGAAGTCTACTTAGCACCATGCCTCCAGAAGTGACAGTATGCTGTGACTTCAGAGTCCTTCTGGAGGCAGGATGAGTAAAAGCCAGCCCTTCTCGAGAAGGAAAGCAAAAAGGATAAGCGCTTCAGCCATCCATCAGCACATGGTTGGGAAGTGCCCTGAAATCACCACTGCTGCAGCAGTGTGCAACTGTCACACAGGTGCTGTCTAGAGTGCCTGTTACAGCCCCTGTGGCAGACACTTCAAATTAAGCTAAGGAAAACGAAAGGTGTCCAAGCGCGAAGACTCTCCCTGGTTCTTTAGGCTTGCTTAGTGCCCCATTACCTCCTGTAAGGTGGCAGCACACAGCTCAATGGCGATGTACTGGAACTGCCGGTCCTTCTCCGTGCAGAAATAGCGGATCACGTTCGGGTGCTCGTCAGATTCGCGCAGCAGCTGCACCTCGCGGTCTGCAAAGCTGAAGCACTCGGGGAGGATTCTTTTCACTGCAACATCTCGGTTATCAAATGTCCCCCTGCAGGCAGGAAACAGCATAAAGCTTTTAGACTCTGTAAAAAGTACGTAAGTGAATGACAACAGAAGTCATTTTACAGAGGTGTAATAAGAATGCATTCCCATGCTGGAAACAACTACTGTCATTTAGTAGCTTTATTTACTAAACACTTCTAAGGGAAAGATTTTTTTTTTTTTTTTTTTTGCTAGTGAAGAAACACTGCAGAAAAATATTCCAGACATCCTCAACATAATACATCAAAATTTCCATTTCTGTTCATGTTGGATAACTACTTTCAGAAGGGAAAAATCCTACTGCAAATAAGATATTAATCCATTTAAAGCTGAATGCATGTATAATTTTCTACCTGTAAACAATTGTTCCTTCAGCTCCATGCCCCAATACATCTTTGGGGTTAAATGATATCTTGCCAACCATCACTCTGTCTGTTTCTCCATCTGAATAGAAAACAAGAAGCAGGACTCTTTTAGGATGGATAAAACCAAGCCTTCTGCAACCTGTGCATCCTTCTAGGCTCATGTTTAAATTTACAACACACACGATCAAAACAAAGTAACATCTGCATTTTGGTACTTATACTGAACCAGCTAGTATTTACAATTAACCAAACATTCCACCACACTCGAAGCTCTACACACCAGAGAGCGAACTTGAAGTCTGGATAGGTCATGACTTGAACAGCACCAAAGGACCAGTTTTTAATGTTTCATACATTACCAAACAGGTTGGAGAAATACAGTGAATCTCAGATTGAAAGAATCCTCAGGAAAGACCAACTTACCACCCTCTTCTTGCTCAGCGGAGAGACAGCTCCCAAGATCAGATGTGGAGATGTTGGAATAGGCAGAATGGTTGGACGCCCTGGGGGACAGATTTGGGGTACTGGCAGCTGAGCTCTCTGTCCGTACACAGGAGGCATCCAAGGAATCTGCTTCTGCTGACAGGTCGCTGGGAGCACTGAAGGGCAGCTGCTGCTGCTGCAAGAGCTGTATCTTCTCCTCCAGCTGATGCTGTCTCTGTTGCTGCTGATGTACACTCTGTGAGAGAGGTGGGAACCCCAGGGCCACAAGTGAAGGTATTTCTTACAGTCAAATCACACAAAGGAAATCTACAGTTACTGGGGCAGATACCTCCAGAAGGTAGAAGAAATTTTTCACGTTACTACACTAGCAGCCAAGGAGGCTGCAGAACTAAAGGGGCTTTCACTCCCCTGGTCTCAATCTCATTGTGAATTCTCAGAGCAAAGCGGAGAAATCACACCAGTTAATAGGGCAAAAGTTGATCCACTGCACAGGAGGAAATTATCAAGACTCTCTGTAGAGGGTTATTTCCTACCCCTGCATCATTTCCAGACTAAGCTGCCAAGTGTTACTATTTCTTCCAGAACTCACAAAAGCATCAAGTCAACATTACCATTGGGTATGTGATGATAAAAGCCACCCAGCCCACAAGCAGGAAGGTGCTGAGAATGATCGTGGCCATGTCTTTCAACATCGAGTCTACAGGAGCCTCTGGACGGGGAATTGGTCGAGCAGGTTTCTCCTCAATATCCTTTGGAATGGCTGGTGGCACTTCCGTTGAGGAACCTTCGACGATGTCAATAACCTAGGAGGCAGAGAAAGCTCTGTTCAACACAATTCCATGTAGAGCTCTTCTCACTCCTTCCCCAATTTCCTTCCCCTTACCCTTCAATCAACCAGTAAGATGATCATTATCACGAACCTCTTCCATAGTGGCTTTATGAGAGTCAGCCGGGATCACGTTTTCAGGCCTTTTAGGTAAGTTGCTTGGGAATTTCTCCAAGATCTTTGTAGGGGCAGATAATGGTGTTTCATGATGCCCTTCAAATAAAACACATTTGCTAAAATTTAAAATGTCAGAGCTTGCTTCACTTATTGAAAGAGCTGGTCCATATAAAACAAAGAAGGGATTACAGAATGAGAAAGGCAGTAGGTAAGGCAGTTAAGAGCTACATCCCTCCCACAGAGAGCATACAGCACATGATATGTCACTTAATTATAAAATTTATATTGCATAAAACAACGGAACCACAGATGGTTCTTGGTTTCTGAGCAATAATTGTAAATATTCCTGAAAAAAGAGTTCCTGCATTTGAGGATTTGGGACACATAAGAACAGGATAATATTTTATTAATAAAGGCTTTAGTACCTGTGCCTTAGTGCCTCATTTGTAAATGGGGAAAACAACTCTTGCCATATGGATCAGAGGGAAGTAAGGTAACACTATTCATGATTACAAATACCAATGGAATTAAAGAATCAGAAAACTTTACGAGGTAAAAAATAAACTATTTTTTAACTCTTCTTTGGAAGAAGAGCCAAAATACTTATTAAACACTTTTCCACACACGCAGCAGAATACCTCATCCTATGCAAGGGATAAAGCAGGGTCTTTGGATATGCAGGTGTCTACTTAAAGACATTACTGCAATTCAGATGCAAAAGAGGAAGAATTAATATTGCAGAGATCATGATTACTAGAATTAAGTAATTGCTGAGCTCTGGACTTCAGATAGTCATTTGAGCTGCCTGTTACAGCAGTTCAGAAACAGCTCTGAGGCGGGGACGGTAACAGTTTGTCCACGAGATGGCAACGAGACCCACAGGAGCTGCAGACAGGGCCGCATCAGGAGCACACATACCTATCAAGAGCCAGTCGTTCCAATAGTTGAGCTTGTTCTTTTCTTTCAGTCTGCCTGCAAACTTGATATCCGTACTGGGGGTGATAACACACTCACCACTGTCTTCAATTGTGACACCCTCTGTTTTTGGACCCTCTAGCAAGGGTAAGGCACTGCCACGGGGCTACGAAGAGAAATCTAGTGTTACAATTGATGGAGCACTCAGCCTCTATAATATTGAAGAAATCAAGTAAAAAAGGTAGGTCAGAACAGGCAGACAAGCAAAAAATATATTTTGGCAGCAAAACGACTGAAAGTGAATACCCTCAGCCACTGCTTGAACAACCTTGGACATTAGACCAGCTTCCCTTCTAAGTTACATGTTGCCTAGGAGAGGAGATTACCCTCTCTTTTTTTAGAAAAGTGAAACAGGACCTTTATTTCCTACCTGGAAAACACCAGGGTGGGTGAACCAAACAAAACTACAGTGCGGGCTACTGTCTGGGGGAAGTTACATTGATGAACACAATGGCAATTTTATCATCATTAATCCCAATGAACCAACACAACACAAAGCAACTTCTGAACCAACACAACACAAAGCAACTTCTGGTCCACTCCATTAAGCTTGTCTGGTATAACAAGTATGTTTACATTTTACTTTTCATTTAAAAAAAAAAAAATTAAGGTGACTTTTCAGAATGCATCATTCGGTTCTGGCAGCTCCATACTTACCACGACAGTTACTCCTTCATGCACCATTGATGGTGATGCATACAAACTCGTGGAATACTTTCCAACATAGAGAGTTGGTCTAGTGGGGAGAAAAACAAACACACACAATCCATGTTAGAGGGAAAAAAAAGCCAAATGTGTGGTTCATATGCAGCGTTCCACACTATAAAAATAAATAAATAATAAATAATAATAAAAAAACCACCCTCAACTTTATAAATTCAAGACAAAAGATCTGAGAGCTCTTCCATCTATCCTACTACATTTCTGATTTTTTTTCTTTCGCCTCCTCCTTTAAAAGTAAAAGGACAAGTATCACATACAATAAGGGTGAAGAGCAAGGGCTGCTTTTATAAGTATTGACCAAGATGGTGGATTCCTTCCATCATCTTGAAAATGGTAGAACAATCATTAAACGTATGAATACAGATAAGGCCTTAATGACAAAAGTCTGTCAAATACATGGTGAGAACAATAATATTCATGCTCACGTTAATTTGCTCTTGGTCTCTGTTTCCTTTGGGAAAGGATATTTCCATTTGGTAATGTGTCCAACCTCCCCAGACATGAATGTCAAGTAGCGCAGAGTTTCTATCCCCACGTTCGTGTGCATGACCTTCCGCAAACCTTCCCGTTGCCAGATGTAAAAAGCTACCACGGGAGAAGCGTAATTCTGAATCCAGAGCACATCCCCAGACTCACTGTCCACAGTGACCACCAGCCCATCTCCGTTAGACACGAAGTGAGACATTTCTACAATACACAAATAAATACACAGGAGGTTATCTGCATTGCTGTTTACATGCAGCTTTAACATTGCATAACAGAAGGCTTGAACTGCTAATAACTAAGTTGTCATTATAGCAAAATAAATTATTTAGGTAGGTAGTTAATCAGTGACTCGGTTGCAAGTTAGACCGATATAGAAAAATCAGTCCTCTTGCATCATCAGAAAATGTATTCCATGCATTGAGCTCATCTCTTCAGCATGTAATGACAAGGATTTGCACATCTCGCTGTACTAAACCAGTGGATTAAATATCACATAAATCATGCCACCATCACAAGGTGAAGGGGAGTCTTTGTGGGTGACTATGGCTGTGTGTGTTGTGACAGGCTGTAAGCTCATCCATATTTGTCCAGTGTCCAGATGCAGGAAATTCGGTGCCTACTGTGAGAGCAGCAACCTGCTCTGTGCCCAGTACCTGCGAAAGTGAACGCAGGCAGCCCACGCACACTGCATTTGATTAACCTCACTCAGTGGCCATTTGAATGCGGACAATAAGCTTAAGTGTCCAGGATATAAAGATAAAACCTAGTATCAAGTACATTTAGCGTTTATTACTCCAGACCCTGAGAGAAGGTTGTGTTTGTTCCTGTTTGCTGTTGTTGTTTCTTAAAAGGAAAGTTCCAACAGTAAGAAAAAAAAACCAACATAGTTCTGCCTTAATGCCTTAATTCATCTGCACAATAGATCTGCCATGTGGCAAAAGATTCACTGGGAATATGAATCAGCTTTCTACTTTTTATCTCATTGACCTAACATAAAACTCTATTTTTCAACTTAAAGTGTATTTATATAGGCACAAAATCTGGACTCTGCTGTAAGGACCTGGCCTTGAAACGTACGGGTTAACTCTTCAGGACTCCCCCTCTCACCTATGAGCTTCAAATAAAAAAAATCTGCTGCAATGCTTTTTACTCAGTACTTAAACAGGAAGTGAATGCTGGGCAGATTCCACCATGGCCTTTTTAATTAACAGGCTGAACCTCTACTTTAAATGAAAAATAACGCAATTTTATACAACCATGAATAGTGTTTCCTTAATTAATGTTACTAATTTTGATGTTAACATGCATACGTTTTTAGTATCATAATAAAAATGCACATTGGAATTCTCAGATGGGTTAAAAAAAATCACTGCTGCTCCCAATTATCAACACTAATAAAATTTGCATTCTTTCTGCAGCACCCATCTGGTAAACACAGCTATATTTAAGTTTCTCAAATTCAGCTGAAACAGATTCAAGCTATTAAGCCAAGCAGAGGACAAAAAGCGACAGATCAAAAACTGCACAAATACAAGAGATTTACTAATTATAGAGAAAAAAAAGTCAGAATATTTTTATGGTATACAAAACCTATGACCAATACACAAAAAACTTAAGACAACAATTAAATTCTTACTGTATTTTATGTCTTCATCAGGCAGGGTAGCTGCATAATCAAAATAGGTGGCATTCCATCGAAGCTCCTTCTTCTTAGTGTCATACATTGTGATCGTGTACTCTGTTAAAAAATACACGAGAGAATAGAATCAATCACCTCAAATGTTAAGACACTTCTCAAAACACCACACATAGTACTTAATGCTCTCTGCATTTCATTTTCTTAAAATTATGATAAATGTCTAAAATGTTATTAAAAGTGTTATTGTTCCACTACTATGAAGAATTGGTAATTTTTCTGTGCATAGACCTAAATAATTTACATGAAGACATGAATGAAATTAAGTAAAATTGGAAACTTAAACTGATTAAAGTCACTTGTTATGATTCTGAACTTAAGGGAAAAATAAAAAGCAACTTTCTTCTAAGCTGCAGGAAAAAAAAGAAAGTATATAAGTATATGACCTGTTCTCCCAAAGTATAGGAGGGATGTGGATGGGCAAAGGCTTTCTGCAAATGAAGAAGTCAAAGTTTGCTGTTTCTCGCCAGTCATGAGGTCGACCACGTACCAAATATCCTGTTTTTTACCTGAAACCATGATTTGAGGAACATAACCATTCAGCGGAATATTGTATTTACAAGCAAGAGAAGATTTTAACAGAAATCACTTTAGGTTGAGAAAGAAATCAAAAAACAAACATGCAACCCTATTCACTGTTTAGAAAAGCCATCCTCTCCCTCAGAAAAAGTAGTTGACTTTTTATCTTCACACAGCAATTCAGTTGTGTATTCTTCAGATTCTGACATTGGATTCATGAAATATTACCTAATTACTCTTAAAAAAAAGAATATTTCCATGCACTCTGTCTGGAGCTCTATGTACTCTATGTACTATGTATGTCTATGTACTCTAATTGCTGAGCATTTCAAAATCTAACATTAAATTTGAGCTCACCCATGTACAGAATCCCATCTGAACTGCGACAGGGAGATGCCTGCACCAGCTCCGGGATAGTAAAAGGCAGTTTCTAGCAGCAGAGAAAAACAAAGGCTTGTTTAAATTTGTGTAATAGTCTTCATCTACACACTAGGAAAATACTCTTGCTAAGTTTTAAGGGGCTTTTATCAGGATGAGGTTACAGGATACTAAGGAACAGTCAGCATGAACATTAAAGATCAGGCCTTCACAAAATTTATTAAAATGACTCCACTGTGGTCTAAACATTTTATACGAGTGTATCCAGGCAGAAATATTTTATTTGAATTCAAAAAGAGGAAGCTTGGTGATTAAAACAGATTGCCTTTTCCTAGATTCACGAAGGAAGAGAACCAACAATATTTTTACAAAGTATAACAGTGCATCTAGCTGTATTTGGGGTGACTTGAGGACCGCAGGTGAAAGAAGTCAGCAGAAACTGAAACATTTACCAATATTAAAGTCTTAAGGGAAGTCACAGCAGCTGCCAGAGACACAAAAAAAGATGTGGGAAGCTGAAACATTTTACCCAAGTTTCATCACAATTTTAAAAAGAAAAAGTCAAACATCAGTTAACGTGTGAGTTACATGTACTAGTGACTATTTTGAAAAGGTTCAGCACTTTTGCCTGCTTGCTGCTACATTCTACACAGACATCTCCTTAAGGCATTAGCACAGAAGGTATATTTACCATGTGTTTTGGCAATAATTTTAGCAAATAAGCTTTGTGTTATTCTGGCCACAGCTTTCCCACCAGGTAATACAGAAATTGTTCCCATGTCCACACAAATGTTATTTGTCCTCAATATTATTTTAACAAGTTCTACAAAAGCAGTACAAGCGGACAAAGCAAATGTGTCTGCTGCTGTTATTTTTAAATCCAAAAATAATTTCCTGATGGTCTCAAGAAAGACAGCAACTTTTCCTTCTCATAAAGTATCTTTTCACTCTGGAAAGCTGCTAGCAACACAACAGAGGGTGTTGTCATTACCAAGAACATGCATCCTAGCACTGGCAGAGGCAGCAGAAACTGATTTTTCGCTAGTGAGATCAAGCTTTTCCACAGAACTGATATTCTTCCATAAGGAGTACAAAAACACAGTCAGCCTGCAGAATGTCACAGTACTGTCAAGAAATGGAAAGTTATCCACTTATCCTTTGTGACAATCTGATTAAGGAGAAAATTTGCAAATCACACTTACAGTCAAGCCTTCATTATTCTTGCCACCAAGCGTATACAAACTGCCATCATTTGGGTCTGGAAGAAACGCTGGTCTAGGATTTAAGCAATTAAAACAGGTAAAGCAACAACTGGGCTGATCTCTGTCCTCAAGAGATCAGGAAAGCAGCTATGGGTGGTATCTAACTTCTGAAGAAAGCTTTTTGGCTTTGTACTCTGCGTTTTTTTGAGATTTCAGTTAACTGCAAGTCTAAAGAAAACTGATAAAATGAAAATGTTTCAGACCTGACGTAACATAGATTATTAACATGCTTGAAAAGTCACAGCTCCAAACATGCTGAGCCATCAGTTACTTGAAAGTTTTCAAACATCTGTATGTTTTTAAAATGCCACAGAGAGAAGAGAAGAGAAGAGAAGAGAAGAGAAGAGAAGAGAAGAGAAGAGAAGAGAAGAGAAGAGAAGAGAAGAGAAGAGAAGAGAAGAGAAGNAGAGAAGAGAAGAGAAGAGAAGAGAAGAGAAGAGAAGAGAAGAGAAGAGAAGAGAAGAGAAGAGAAGAGAAGAGAAGAGAAGAGAAGAGAAGAGATCAGTGATCTTTGTCACTGAGAAAGTTGTCGGTGAAAAGCAAACAAGCAGTAAATGAGTCACAGGAAATAGACTTACTCTTCCACATGTGTTGGCACCTGGAGAACAGGATCTGCATAAATAGAACAACGAAAAATCATAGTACAGGCAATTCAACTCCTTGAAATCATCAAACTCAAGATTGTGTCAGGCCTGCAACAACTTGTCCCTTTTTGGAAGGCTGTGGCACTGAACTTTACAAAGCATTGGCCTCAATAACTTCCTGTTCGCTTGTGAAAATTAGGTTTGTAAGAAGAGAAAGTATGAAACATCCAAGTTTTAAACTTTATACAGGTCTGCCGTTGCTTAATCTGCCATCCGTGGGAGGAGACCTGGAGAAGGCAGCAGTACTACCTTCCACATTATCATTTTTCCTCACTTGCCCAGAGCATGCAGAGTAGGTCAACACTGCCTGCATAGGGGCAAATAAAGGTTCTTACTTCCAATATATGTGAGCATGCTGAGCACCAACTGCTCAGCAGAAGTCTGATCATAATATGCAGAAACTGGCTTCAAAATCCAATTTTATTTAAAAACATGCTACAGCTAATGGATGTTCACAGAAACTGTAAGAACAGAGAAAGGACAATATGCATCTTGATATTTTCATACAAGAGGCCCACCCTCGTCCTTTCTAATCTGTATTGTACAATCTTTTGCTACTTCGTACCTCTAATTAGGCAGAAGAGCATATGCTTCTTGGGTAACATAACATTTAATTTCAAATGTCACACACAGACTTGGTTCTAAGAGTCCCCGAAATCAATGGGAACTGTCAGTGGCTCCACAGCAAGACTGATCCAAATCAAAAAAACTTCCTATAATAGGAAGCTCCACTTCCTATTCCAAAAGACAACTTCTGTGATTAGCATGTAACTGAAAAACAGACATATGCCAAGGACAATGCAAAATTATTTTAATGATTTTTTCACTTAGATGATCTTCCCAGTAAAACTTTTCCAAGTATCCATACTGAAAAAAATCATAATAAGCAAGAAAAACAGATTAAAGATGACTAAGCAAACAAATACTATTTTTCCTCTCTCCACACAAAACTACATGATGCAAGAGGAAGGAAATAAGAACAAGAACGATGATGTTATGAGAGTCTCTGATTGGAAAAATAGAGCTCTATTTATTTTCATTCATTTCTTTTTACACAATAAATATTTTCAGGGTAGCTTTGTTCCAAAGCTAACTAATTAACTAAATATATATATAACACACACACACACATACACACACACACACATATATATATGTTTTTCTTTTTAAGCCTGGAAGCAATGTTTTAGATATTTCATTTCCTCAGAGCTGTCAAGATAAACTACTCAAAAGCATGCCAGGCTTCTCAGAAATAACCCAGTTAACAGGAGAGAGGGCAGTGCTCTGTTCCAGTGCTGAATACTTCCAGAGAGCAGTCTTGTCAGGTTTCATGCTTGATCTATTCCCTCATCACGCCCTTATTCACCACTGCACTGGCATCTCCTGCTTTAGCAGGACCAGCAGTCCCTCTGTGTCAGAGCAAATTCTGTCTGTCGTGACAGTCTTGAAGTCCTGGGAAAGTTCCATGTGCCAACACTGCGTAGGGGCCTGCAAGAAACTCGCTGGATGGCAGAGACCTCGCACCAGCTGCTGCAGACGTTGGGCCACTTCCTCTAGTGACATGATCAAAAAGAAGAAGCAGTAACAGCCAAGTCATGCAACCTTATACTTGCAGCCTCTCACATACGGCCACAAAGAAAGAGACCACAAAAATGGCAATTTCAGCTGCTACTCTCAGAAGTTTTCAACAATGACATGTAGTCACAGAAAAGAGGTAACAAGACTACCCATCTTGAGCAAATTTTCTCTGTATGATGAATTATCATCAATACCATTGGGCACTGATGGGGATGATTGTGAGTGCAGCACTCCACATTATATCATAAATTCCATGTAATTTACCAAGAACCCATTACAAGTGCACATCAAAAGTCTTTTAGAATAATTTCTATTCAAACGAGTTATGCAATTCGGTTATGTATCTATCTCTACAGACCACACTAATGGGTTAGACCTTTTTTCCAATGGCACATTAAGCACCTCAGTTCCAACCTTGTGTGAAGAAACTAACCTCAAGATACAAGTTATGTTGGGAGGGAAAAATGTAAAGTTGATTATACTCTATTTATTTCTCAGTGTTTGTCTTAAAAAAATTGATAGTTTTAGAATATCAAATGTAACACAACCAGTGACTTACAAAATCATTCCCCCATTACTAAAGAAATGCAAGAAAGAGAAAAAAAATAAACATTTGAAGACCTGAACTACTAAGAGCAAACAGACATTGTCAGATAAATTTTAAATTAAAAAAGTATCCACGAGTCTATGTGAAACAAACTGAAGAAGCAAGATACATTAGCAACTACAGGCTAAAGTTTCTAGAATCATAAATACCTAATGGAAAGGAGAAAATGCAAGTTCTGGGGAACAGCAGTATCATAAATCAGCAGAAAATGGCACCTGCCTCAGTTAAGGTACGATTTAATACAAATACCACTAGCATTACTAAAGGCAAATGCCGAATAAACTTTGCAGGTCTCTTGATGAACTGATTACAAATAATTTCTCATGTAGTAGAAAATAAACTGCCAGTGGTGATTAACGTACTGCTCGACAACTGCAGTCTTTACCCACAGCACTTGCACAACTTACCTGACTCCGAACATATCTGCCTCAAAAGATTGTTAATGATAAGAAAGCTGCATAACTTGCTTTTTTTTTTTAAATGGTAACTGAGTACATACACTTTTTTTAAAAAAGTATAACAGAGATGTTCTTAAATACCACATTCTAGTCAGTCTAGGAAAGACATAAAATATTTTTTAAAATATGCTTATAAAGATCTAAACATTTGATCATATGACATTTGCATAGGGTGTGGGCTGTAATGCTTTCCTATAACTCCCCTTTGATCACCAAAATTGAGTGAATAAATGCACAGCATTTCTGGACTAATAGCTTGAATTTAAGTGACTTTCTGAGACCTGGCAATCTACTTTGATAAAAGCAAGTGCTTTACTCTGCTCACTGCGTTTCAAGGATGTGAAAAATGCTCTATTACTCTACCAATAACACCAAAGAAGTGAAAGCAAACACATGTAAGTGGAACATTGATTGGAATTAAGGGTTTTTTTTTTCCCTCCAAGTTTCTAAAACTCTTGGTAAAACATCATAACAACAACGCATTCTACACTTACTAAACAATACCAGCAGTCCTATGAAAATAATGAGTTCAATTCCAAAAAAAAAAAAAAACAAAACAAAACAGACAAACAAAAACTCCACAGTTACTAAGCTGCTTGGTAAGTGCCTTGCAGAAGCATCATAGAAGCTTCATGTCTATGACAAAGCTCATGAATTTTTTTTTTTTGTCAGTATCACATCTTCAATACCAAGGAAAACTGTGCTTTATCAGCAGTGAAAAGTCCTCCTTTTACTTATTTTGTCAGTAGCTAAAAATTGATTTAGTAGGAATGATAAAGAGGAGGAAGATAGACCAAATTAAGATATTATTATGATGTAGCAGGAAATGTTTGTGCTACTTACTGGCACTAACCAAAACACTGATAAAAAAAGATTTCCTGAAACAGTAAGTGTTGTATATGAACTGTTAGACAGCATTTAGTATTAAACACACAACTCCCGATTCATTTCCAGGCAAGAGGCTATTCCTACTGAGCGAGTACAAATTTATAGGGGAGAAGATTTTCTTAAATAAAAGTAACTCTTCTTTTCTACTAATGCAGTCCAGCTGGAAAGACTAACTGTGGAAAGCAAGTTCTCTATATTCTTAGTTAATAAGATGAAGCAAATTTTCTTATTTTCTTAACACTTTCATTATCCTGAAACAGGATTGAAGCTCTACAAAGATTCTTTAAACACAATGAGCTCTTCTCATTCACTTTCATGTGGTTTGGGACATATTCCACCTTTATTTCAAAGTTTGTTTTGAAATAAGAACTTGCTCTGAGATAAAAAGAGAATTTTGTGAGTTTAATTCTCTTGCCAGGTCTTATGATAGCCCTAAGACGTTTAAATGCAGACTAGTAAAAGAATGTAGCAAGTTTTCTTAAAACAAAGGTCACCTTTACTACCACAATGAATCAACTGGAAAAGGTTCTTAAAAAACTCCAAGGGCTGGGGTCTTACCTTCTCTTTAGCAGCCTAACACTCAGGTGTTAACATGCTGAGACTACAATCACATAATCCTGCTTTCATAATTTCCTTGACCTGCAGTTCCCTGTCATTAGGCAAGTCATTTCAAAAGGCCTAATCTGTTCCAACATCAACAACAATGATGATAACCAAACAATAAATAATACATATTGGAACAAAAGCTTTACAGAGAAAATGTCATCAGAAAAAAAAATAATAATAATTAAAAAAAGAACAGTACAGAGATATATTTGCCTCTTCCCTAGGCTTCCTTTCCCTGTATCAGAAGAAAAGACAATTTCTTGACATTTCCTATATAAAGTTTTTGGTAAGACAACCTGTTGAAAAGCATTCTAATATCTAGACTAAGGAAATATACTTGTGAATTTGATTGTTGCAAAGCCAATTAAAACCCAACAAGCACAGACAGTAGAATAAAACTACCATTAAACAGACCAATGCATTTCCCTGTCTTTGTAGGATTTCAGAATCAACATTCTGCAGGAATTCAAGAGCTTCCATTTTAACAACTTAATAAAAAAAATCTGTGCAAAAACTGTGACCAAGAAAGACCAAAAATGCCATTGACCTTAGGACTGAAAGGACTTTAGGAGCTTATTCACAACACAGAAGTAGTTATAAATATGTTAACATGATGGATGGACAGTAGTTTACTCAATTAATTGGGGTTAATCACATGTCACTAAAATTGGGATTTTGAGCTGGCAGCAAGCAGATGTCCCAAAACAGCTTTCTCTGCATCATGGCCAGAAAATACCTTTCCCTGCATCATTTGCTTTTGAATGGGCAGAAGCACATGACCATTCTAGACTATTCTGAAACAAGCCTAACTCATATTTTGCAAACACATATGTAACAAAGATACACAAGCAATTTTTGAAAATATAATCCTGATGCTAAACATAATAATTTTGTCCATTGAATCTTCTTCCTATTTTACAAACATATAAAAGGATTCCCTTTCACCAGGTCTTTTTTAATGTACAAAACGGAGTTGTACATTTTCATCATTGTAATGTGCCTTTAGGCAGAACACATCAAAACAAGGACTAAAAAGGAGAAGTGGGAGATTCCGAAAGAGCAAATGAACAAGTTTCTGCCACAATGGAATGAACTGGAAAAAACGGTTTCCTGACCTGGGGTCCTGCCATAAGAGCTGGGCTAACGGGCCAATTTAAAATCATGTTATCCTAGCCAACTGTTGCAACTTCAGTGAGTCATTTTAGAGATACAAATCCACCATCTTCTGGAGTTTGCTGAAAATAAAATGTTTCTACAGTCTTTTTGTTCTAAATTCTTATTAGTTTACCAAAATACTTCTTCCTGGTTGGAAATAATCATTGTTATCAGAGAAAGACCTATAGATCTTGATTGATCTTTTCATAATTTACAGATTGAAGTATTAATTGAATCAGTCTTGACATCTTTATCTTATCGCAACTAGCCTACTGCAGTCCACAGGCCATGAGTGATGTCTTAGAAATAAAGAACAAAAAATTAAAGCAACTTATATGGGCCACATTTTTTTGTTGTTACACTGAACTGAAGATCATAACAAAATTGATAAATACTGTAAATCTAGACCGAAACCTGTTAAATGTGCTTTGGAAAATTACTTTGAATCAGTTCCTGGGAAAATGTGTTTTTAAAGAGGAGGCAAATGAAAATAGAAGACTTTGGACAGTATGGAAGGATACACAGGAATGACTGGCAGAAGAACAAAGCAAGGCCCTGCACAGGATGACTGTTTGCAACGCTCCATTCTTGAAGTTCAATATGCTGTTCATTAATTTCAGCTTTTGACTTAGCCAAGAAGTACAGAATGACTTGTAAAGATGTGAGGGAACAGTGCAGACAAAAATCACATTCTTAAAAACTCCTACTGAAAACAGAATTTCAAATACGAAGGCTGACATTAAGTAAAATTATTCTCTAGATTCAGTCTTGCCAGCTTGTCACCATCTTTATCACTGTCAGGTTTCTGACCTGCAGTATTGTGCAACAGTAAGCCCAAAGTGCACCCTTGCACCTTTAAGAAAGGAAACGAGAGAAGTTCCACTTCCAGCAATTCTAGGGATGAAGAGATTTCAACTTAGGTCATCGTGTGGATTAGTCACATCAGATGCTGTATATACAGATTCTGCTCACATGGAGGAAGACAACTATGAAATAATAGATCAAAAGGAAAGGGGTTGAACCTCCTTCAAGATGACTCAGATATTGCAGACCTCAGAACTACAGTGTCCTGGTTTTATGACACTCTTAACCCGATTTAAATGCTTTGTGTTTCAATGCCAACATCTACCCATACAATTCAAACAGCATTAAACTGCTGCAAAAAAAAAAGACAGCTGTCAGTCTTGATGGAAGCTCACTGTGTACCTTGCTAGTGGCAAGTACAGAAAATTAGGGCACCCATCACACTGTCACCCAGAAGTAACAACTCCCTTTAGTGATCACAGATGGCACTCACAGATCACAGATGGTGATCACAGATGGCCACAAGCTGAAGCATAAGAAGTTCCGTCTCCAGGTGAGGAGCAACTTCTTTACTGTTAGGGTGACAGAGCAGTGGAACAGGCTGCCCCGGGAGGTTGTGGAGTCTCCTACTCTGGAGGTCTTCAAAACCCACCTGGATGCCACCCTGTGCCACATGCTGTAGGTGTGCCTGCTTGAGCAGGAAGGTTGGACTAGATGATCTGTAGAGGTCCCTTCCAACCTTAAATATTCTGTGAATCTGTGACTCAGAGCATTATTTAGCCTCTGCTCTTGAATGAGTGCCACAGCCTTGAAGCCTTCCATACTATGCCTTTCCCCCCTCCCCCTACCCCCCCTCCTACAGCCAGGGTAGGAGCAAAGGTCTCTCCCAGAAACAGATTAACAGATTTGGGGGAATACAGATGGGTTCTTTCTATTAACTTGACAGTGATATTCCAGCTTTCCAAAGCCTAGGGAATGAGCAGCACAAGTCACCTGGCCGCTCAAAAACCCTGAGAACTGTCAGAGACCACAGAAGCCAACAGGAAATGAATATCCTGAGCACCCTCTCAAAAAATAAGCGCAGAACCACTCTACATACAACTGCAGGGAATGCAGTTTTATTTCTGAACTACTGGTGAATCTCATTACTAAGAGTCCTGGGTTTTTTGCCTACTGTATGAGACAAACAAAAGTATTCAAATGGCCTTTCTTTGCAGTGTTACATGAAGGCAGGAAACCCACACATATTATTGCGGTAATAGCCTCACTTACTCTGCATACCTAGAGATAATTTTCACTGCTAAATTAAAACAATTCTTGAATGGCAAGATTGTCCTGTTTCGGTAAGTACCACCTGACAATGAACACTATCCATTTTATTCTCCCAACTGAAATAAAACATATATGAATTGCCCTTTGTTAAGCAGCCCTAGCTGCCTAAGCGAATAATAAAACTGTGTCTCACTGACTAATGCATTTGCAGCACTTCAGGTGACCTCCAGAACTTCTCAAATTACGTGAACAACAACATATGGTTTATTGTCTCATTGTCAGGGTAAAATGGCACCTGCAGAAACACTGCTTGTAGTATGTGCAACTTCCCACTGGATACTTCTGTATAACAATATGAAATACGAGCATAACGTGGAATAGTCAGAGTCTTACCTAAATAAATCACTATCTGCAAAGAAATCATATAACTATGAGGTAGTATTTAGAGAATCAGACCAAATAATTAACAAAGGACATACATCTTCTACCCACCTTCTTTTAAAGTCCATTTGATTGCACCTGTCCTCTTGCTGACGGCATGCAAACTTCCATCAAGAGTTGAAACAAACAACAGTGTTTCTGGCACAGTTACTGAGCTGGTGTTCTGGAAAAAGAAAGGAACACATATACTGAATATCATTATTTACTGCATATTTTACACATAACTGCCCTATAGCCTAGAATATCTAGAACACCATCCTTCTTTTTATTGACACAGGTTCGTCAACTTCCTTGTCCCTTTGAAATCAGTGATTTTTTTTGTTGTGACCTTCCATGGAACTGCTTACTTTGCTCCTAGCTACCCTAGAAATGAAGTGGGAAATGCTTTAATTATCTATGACTCAACCTCCACCTTCGATTTTATATCAAAGGCTTCCTGTATTCAAAGAATTGGGAGAAACGAGGGATACCCTTAATCTCAGAAAGAATTCACACAAAGATAGCCACAGCAAAACCTAGAAGCAGCTCTAAGTTCTAACTAGAAAGAGGGGAGAGGGAAAAAAAAGTTTCAAAAAGAGAAAACAAACATAGAGATCTTTTGATCTTGAAGTAGTTAGGCATTTTATTTTCAGGTATTTCTCATTAACACTGTTTCCCAACCTCTGCGACAATTCATCAACAGGCCCTTTAGTACTGCAACAGGAAAATATGACAAACACTGTCCACTCCTCTGACTTCCATCAAACTTCCATTGGTGCTGAAGAGCACAAACTCTCAGCAAAGTTTTCAGCCTGTGGAATCAAAACTTATTTCAATATTCACAAAAAGACCAACAACCAAAAAGAATAGAAGGACAAGAGCAGAAGAGTGAATTTATATTCCAGGACAGAGCTGTCCATGAGTTTATCTGTGCAAGACGTATCTGTATTTCCCCAAAAAGCACACCACCAACAACAAAAACTAACAAATTAACTATATTGATGTATCCAGTAGAGCTACAACTCTAACACACTAATGTTACAATGTTAATGAACAGAGCACTTGAGGATGTCCTCAATAAAGTGTTATGCTGTCTCAGCTACATTTTCATGCCTGTCAGTGAACTGGCCAAACACGTCGTGCTCAGATAGAGCACATTAGAAGAAATGACACCTGGGTTCAGCTGGGCTTTTCCCATGCCAAGAGCAGCCTGCGTGTGCTGCCCGCACACACGATACCGCAGAACACTGAAACCTGCTCAACAGGCCACAGCAGGGAATCGACCAATGTTCTAAATGCCAATTTTATCCCCAAGAGGTTGCTATTTTTGAACTGCATGACTCCATGCTAAAAGGGAAACAGGCATAATTTGGGATATTGAACTGCAGCATGACATGAAGAAAAAAACAAAAAATATTTTCTGTTATTTTTAACAACTAAACAACAACTAAATAACAAGGTGCACCATTTCACTGTAGGAGGAAAGGACAGGGAAACGAAGTATTTTTTTTATGAATTTTTAATAATAAACTATAGGAATAAAATAATAATGTTATGATATAAAGTAACAAAGGGTACATTTATCTGACAAAGAAGAAGATCATTACCAGGAGCCTTGGAAGAAATTTGTAGAAAACACAATTTGTGCAAATATCTGGGTATCCTTAAACAGGCTTATGTTTTCCATGTTGCCTCAATACTGAGAACTGTACACCAGACAGTCTTTTTCATGGGTATTTATTATTCCAGTGACGTTAATAGTTCCAAATAAATTTTCCCTGTCAAATGCATTAATTACAGGTATGATTATTGGGATTAAGCCCAAAGAATCAAAAAAATATATATTTATGAAAGGGGATTGAAGTACGGAACAGATTTGAGGCTGGAAGCCAAGGTGAGGACTACAGCTGGCAGGGCAAAAAAAGATTATGTTAAGAGCCGAGAAAAGCTGAGAAAAGATATGAGCCGAGATAGACAGCAGGACACAGGAGACCAGGGTTCATAATTTGTGGAAGAAATAAGATGGGAGAGAAATCTAGGGAAAAACAAGAATACTGAATTCTACCAGGTCCCAAGTCTAAGCTTTTGTGATTCTGCAAGAATATACTATACAAAATTTAGTAACAATCTATTGATTTGTAATTTATTTTCCACATTTTAAAATACTTCTTAGTATTCTTATTATTTCTGACATCATAGGTTGCAAAACAATGTTTTGTAACCACTGTCAGAAAGATTTCAGGTAATTTTTTGACCACTTGCTTGCATTTTTTTTTACTTTTCTAATCAAGTAACAACACCTGAGTAACACAGCTTCACTGTGAAATGTGTTTACTTTTTAAAAAGGGAGTGGAGCCATTATATTCTAGACAAAAAACAAAGCCTCCAGCTTTGCTTAACTTGAATGATAAGCCCATATATTACACCAGTATTTTCAGATAACAATGAACAATACATTATGTCTGCTTAAAGAGCATAGCCTAAAACCTTCCTCTGCTACACTCAAGTATAATGGAAACAGTAAATACCAGGTGGCTTTTTCTATTGCCTCTTGAACCTGAGAATTTACAGAGCACAGTATCTTTCTCAGAACAGAATTTTTGAAGATTACTTTTTCTATTTCAGTTCACACATACTGGACAGCATTGATTTGAAAGAATACTATTTAAAAATATTTTCTCCATACCAAGAGTTATCAACCACATAAAACAAATTTAGGAAAAAAAAACTATTCAGCATTAAATTAGTTTTGGTATGGTTTCACTATTCTCCACTTTTATTGCCCCACGCAATACCATATGGCCAACATGGTTATTTCTTAAAAAGACTTATCATGTAGCGACTTGTGCATGTAGTCTCTCACCTCTGAATTTAGAACTGTAGTCTCTGCTAGATACCATGATAAGTGTACTTATGCACATGGCTATCTTTGCTCTAGAAACAGAATGATTAAAATTCCTTAAAGATGGGACAAAGCAACCTTCCCAAGGCATGCAGCTAATCATTTCTATGGGGATATCAACACTTAGATTACGATTTTGACCAAAAAGTAAAAACTAAAACTAAAAAAAAAAAGATACAAGGTCACAGGATAAGAGCCTAACAGATCAAGACGGATGATGACATACAGCAACAAAGTGAAAGGACGCAGCAAAGATCTTCTAGTGCCTCTGACTAGTTCCTAGATCCAGCTAGGTAGTTTTTTCATGCTACTTGGATCAACAGCCTTATGGAAAACTGCTTTTCTTTTCTACTCTGAAAATTACTATATTCTCTTCAATAGAAATGTGTGGGGCAGGGTGGCATGTGCCACAAGTTGCAGAGCACAGGCACAGGCGCGGAGCCGCACCAGGCTGGCTGCGGGGACGTCACCCACGCGGGGACCGGCGGGTCGTTGCGCGGCCGGCGTTGGGGCCTGGCCGCGGCGGGCAGCCGGGAGCCCCGAGGACGCCTCTCCTGGCTGCGCCCGCCGAGGAGCCCGGCCTTGCCCGGACGCCCCGCGCGGGACGCCCCGGTGCCGCGGCCGCCCCTTGTCCCCGCCGCCTCCCGGGCCGCGCCGGGCCCGGCGCGATGGCGCCTCGCTTACCGCGGGCCTCGGCGGCAGCAGCAGCAGCAGCGCGGCCAGGCCGAGGAGCAGGCGGCGCAGCGGCTCCATGGCGGCGGCCCGGGGGGCTCGGCGGGCGCCGCGCCGGCTTCCCCCGCGGCCTCGCTGCCTGTCGGGCGCGGCGCGTGCGGCGGGGCGGAGCCGAGCCGGGCCGGGCCGGGCCGAGCCGAGCCGGGTCGCGACGTCAGCCCGGTGCTCGCCGCTCCTTGGCTGGTAGCCCTGCCAAATCCTCTGCCTTCCTGCTGCCCCCGCGGATAAAAGTCCTGCCAGCGGCGCCGGGCTCAGCTCGAAGGCCTTGACATTTGTAACTAGTGGGGCAGACAATGCCGGATCACTGGGTGGGGTTTTTTTTTTTTTTTTTCCCCCACCTTAAAAATAAATAAAAACAGAAGGGGGCAAATCCAGGCTTCTTAAGTAGCCTTTCTCCACCTAACCTGCCTCCCCTCAGTACTACCACCCAGTATAATTTCCCTATCTATTGACTTTTCACTTTTAAAGCACGTTGTTTTAACACAGCTCCCATTTTGGCAAAGTGACCGTGACCCTGTTACTGTACCTAGCTGTGCTTTAACTACAATCACAATGTGGGGGGGAGAACATGCGCTTCCCTGAACCATAAAGCAGGTCCAAGTGTTTCTCAACACACAAAAATCACAAAAATAGGCAGAGAAATACTGGACATAATGGAGCAAGTTTGGAGAAAAGGGGAAATTTACCCTGCCTGGCAAAGGCCTGGCTTTCAGGTGCCTATTTATACAACAAATCTACTTTGTCCTTGCTACACACTGTTTGCTATTCAAAAGCAATATCCTTAATGGAGCTACAAAGCACACCATGTCCTGAGTTTGTAATATGCAAATAACAGACCAGCTCTGGTAGCTGGTTAATAAAGTGTGCCTTCTATTACAAGGGCAGGAGACGTAATTATGAACTAACCAGCAAATCTGAATACCTAAAACCTTACATGCCTACAAACCACACTGGGATTTCAGTCTCCAAATTGGCAGATGGTTTAGTTACGGTGGTCTTGGATTTTAGGACCTGCATCATTTGAGAAAATAGAGCACAATGAACACACCTGGGTATCCACCACACGTGCTTGTACGCAAAGTTCTCATTACCTTGTACACAGCAACAGTTAATCACAGCTATGCAAGAAGCACACGAACATTTTGTAAAGATCTAGGGCCTCGACCGAGAGCACAGCAGCTACTGCCGCCTCCAGACACTCCCAGCACGGCTCTGGGAGCCTTTCTGAGCACTGCACATACCAAGAGATGGCAGCATTTCTCTTCCAAGCAGCCTGCACCTTCCTGAAGAAATGAGAGGGAATGGTTAAACATGCTAACTGCAGCTTCTCGTTTAAATATGAATATCAGCTAGCTGGCACTTAGGCATGATTACCTCTGTATGTAGGATTTGATGAGCTGTGGGCAAAGGTTTGTATTACATTCCACTGAGAACTCCTCCTATATACAGAATCTCTGCATATATCATTACCAAAACCATAGAGCTCTTAAAAAATAAAAAATCCCTCACAGGGACCTAGTAGGAAGTTCGAAACGCAGGGATGGAAGCATCTCCAGGGGCTGTGGGTGAGGGAGCGGGTGTTACCTGCCCTCGCGGGACTCCTCTCCTCAGGACATCGGACACCTTTTGCTACTCGGCCTAAAGAAGGCCGAAAGCTTTCACGTTTTTAACGATAACCAGTATATACTAACAAAGCAGCATGAATACTAAAATAAAGAACAACGTTCCTCCAAATATTGCTAAAAAACGCGGTTAAAGCTCCTCGGCCACGTCAGGATAGGCCGACTGGGAGCGCTGCGCCACACCGCGGCCGCCATGTCGCGCCCTTCTCCTCAGGTGCCGCGTGAGCAACACCCCTCCCCCACAGCCCGGCCCGCCTCCTCACGTCCAGCATCACCACGTGATCCCAGCGGTGTCCTCCTATTGGGCAGGGCGGGGCGCGAGGCGGTATAAAGTGGGGTGAGGGGGCGGTGCCACTTCCTTTTCTCAGCGCGGCACGTGGAGGTGGGTGAGGGTTGCGGATGCGTGGTGGGTAGGCTGGGCCGGTAGCGCTGATGTCTTCGACACGTGTTAGACTTCTGACACGCATGAAGCAAAACTACCTCTGAGCTCCCGGGCCGCCGCGCTCCCGGGAGGCAGCTGCAGCCAGCGGCCTCTCTAACCCTCCCGTTTCCCCCGTGTCTTGCAGGCTTGAGGCGACCGGCGGTGCTGGGACGGCGGCGGAGCGCGGTCTCTCCAATAAAGCTGTGTGCGACCCTTAAGCGTGTGCGGCTGCTTCTTGCGCGCCTCTCCGTGCCCCTCCGCACTGCCTTTGACCCGGCGGGGCGCCCGAGCCGCGGCGCCGCCGGCCAAGCTGCAGTGCCAGAGCGAAGCGCTTGTTCATAACTGGGGCCGCTCGGAGCCGCCCGGGCGGCGCTTTTAAAAACAAGTCACAGCTCGGCCCGAACCGCCCTCCCGCAATGGCGGCGGCCAAGGGCGGCTGGGGCCCTTCTCGGGCGGGAAAAGGTGTGGGGGGGTAATAGGTAAAAAGGGGCTGCGTGACCGAGTTAATCATTGCTGCTCACTTTATAGCGACGTGCAGTGTGACTTAAGGCAGCCTAGGCGCCAGCCTCTGCCTCGCTGCGGGAGGGTTCAGCTCCTAAAGAGAGATTAAAAGTTAGAAGTGAAGGTCCAGGCATTGATAATGAGCAGGCCCAGCTGGCGACCTGGTTTCCACTCAAAGAGTGTGAAGGTGGAAGGGGAGTATCTTCTGCAAAACAGAAGTGTATGTTCACTCTAATAAAGCTTTTAAAGCTGTTTCATCTATCCCACTTTCAGAACTGGGAACAGTTTTGCAACTTTATTCCAGAAATTTGGGACCCATGCGTCCCAACTCGAATAGAACACAAGATGTGATAAACATCGCTGTTTGACACTAAAGTCATTTTAGGAAGCTTTAGAAACAGCTTGCAGAAGATGGAAGCCAAGCACTCTATAGAAATAAATTTGAGTGTGAGTAGTTGTTTCACAGAGGATAAATTTAATAAAACAAAGCAAGCAGATTGTAGTTACCCACAGTTTATGAAGTGCAATATGACAATCTTGTGTAATAGTCTAAATCTGTTTAAACACATTAGTGCATCTAGTCCTTTGACTTTAGTTATTGCACATAGAAATTAAATCATATAAAAGACCTGCGTACAAGACATGCAGACTTCATGAAAGGCAAATAATGCCTACATAATCAGAGCAAAATCCAGAATATACACAGCCTGGAATGGTCAAGGAGGAGTTCAGGTAGCAAATATAACCTACTAATTTCAATTAAAGGTAACCAAAATAGGTGTTCAAATATAGAATTAATTTTAAATATATTAAATGCTAGTTTTCTTTTATGTTTCAGGCAAGGTGCTGTTTAAAAAACCTTCAATATAATAGCTTCATTTAGAGATGGTAAATCATCAAGTTACACATGGAAATTTTGATTTACATCAAATGTGACAACACAACATACAAAAGAGTTCTTAAAAAATTACTTTTAAAAAGAAAAAGCAAATTATGTTATAAAAGGCGAGTCAAAACTCACCTTCTCTGTAAACTAAAATGTTTTCTGACATCCATGAACAGTTGGCAACACTGAGTATCAGAAAAATGTTACGCATGTTAAATAGTGGATATGTAGTGCTCAAATCTCCAATTTAATGCATATATTTACTCTTGAATCATCATACCAGACAGAAATAAAAGGCAGTTTCCTCCTCCCCCTGTAGTTTGGCCATTAATTAGCAGAAACAGTCTTCAATTATATCACAACCAGCTTATGATCAACTGCAAATGCTTGAATTCCTATTTCACAAACGCCAAGAAACCAACGCATAGGGGTCAAAGTCTTTCAGTTACAGCTCTGTTTTCACGAACATCAAGTGATTTGAAGTCAGTGCAGTTGGTATGGCTGTAACAGATGAGAGTTTGGTCCCATGCTTTGCATGTAAACACAGTGCAATGGAAGAGACTCACAGCAACAAACTCTCCTGTATATACATATTTTTAAAAAAAAAGTGTGTTTCATTGTAGCAAGAGGCGCTATACACAGTAGGGTAACTAAGTACTTCCTGTCATGTGCAGTATTAGACATTTTATGTGTGTGCTCATGTCTTTACACATTCAGAATTAGTCATGGACGATGGTGATTGTACCTCACTATAAGGCGGCTTGCTATCATTTGGTCTCATGGCTTTGCCAGCTTTCCTCAGTCACAAAAGCAACAGTCCCCACCTTCACTGATAGTTGTGTGTGTGTGTTTTATGGCTACTTGCTTCCCCCAAAAAAGCACAAGTTCCATATGAAAAAAAGCAATATGTTTATACCGCATTGAATCACAATATTACCTATACATCCAATTTACATTCTTTTCTCCTGAAAGCATCTTATATTTCGATCGCTTGACACAAGCTATTGACTGCAGAAGTGAAAGAACATAAAACAGTTCATTCTACACCTCCAACTGCCTGAGAAAGAAAAAATATTCTTCCAGTTTTATAAATTCATTCCTTACTTAGGATTTTTTCCATTTGGCATGCAGTTCCTTTGCTGCCAAACAACCTTTCAGAGTTATAATGCACATTAACATAGCATGAAAATATTAGCTGAACAAAGGGTGTTTCATCAAGCTCAATCTACTACAGTTAGATTTTTTTTTCCTCCCCCAAAGAATACCTCATTTTAGCTTCCAAGTTAAAATCCTGACTGCAGCAAAATATATTCAACTGCTAAATGTAATGAAACTTCATCTAGCTGAAGTACACAGGAACAATAACCAGGCAAGTGAGCACAAAGGTATGGTTATGATTATAGGCAGTTCTTGGGCCTGGATGGAGAGAGAGAAAAAAAAAGTGGCACAAGTTACGGATGAGAACTACAGCACAGTTTATAAAACCATGAGAATAAATTTTATAATACTGTAAACTGCAAGAGTCTTCACATGTCATGGTTGATCAGGGTCCTCCGTGGTCAGATCTTTAGGAGGGCATGTAGAAGAGCGGGGATCCATGGCTGAGTGCATTAAAGGAATATAAACATCATCCATGTTTGGCATGACAAAGATTTTCTGTGAAAAAGACAGAGTTAAATCAAGTTACATTTCATCTGTCACACTAAACCTTCAGTTTTCTGATTTATTCAATTAAACACAGCAGATTTGCAGATAAATGATTTTATCCCAGAAGTTCATTCAGTAGTCCTGAATGAAACAGCAGACTTAAAAAAAACCAACCAAACAAAAAGAGACTAAGTCAAAAGTATCACTAACCTAATGAAAATGTTATTAAAGAAACATACCTGAAACTCTTGTTCCAGTTTCTTCTCTATCCAGTCAGTTACATGGACCAGAGTCACTTCTCTCTCACCAAGCTTTGGCCGAGCTTTTAGCTCCAGGTAGGGAGGTCTTCGAAAGCCGTACCTGAAGAGAGCACACAGGAAAGCCTTTACTGCAAACACTCCAACCAAGCATGGACTTCAATGTTCCTGCCTAATTCACAACCAGCTCGCATTGCAGCTCTTTCAAAGCCCATTTCAGTTGCATTTCCCCTCTTCCTTGATTTCAATTCCCCAGCACAGAGCTGAAACTCCACAGTAATGCAGCAAGGTCCTCTTACCATACTCTGTCCGTAGGTGGAGGTGGAATGTTAATTGCTAGTGTTCCTCGGCACTCCTGAACTTCCACTGTTAGCAGCAAGGGAGTATTGGAGACCTCTTCAATTTTCTTTTTAATAAACTCAGTCTCTGTTGCCTTTTGAAAGTATTTTGACTTAGTTATTTTATCCACAATCCTCATGATCTTACTTGTCCGATGTCCTCCGACATACCTGTTGTTAGAGAACAGAATAAAATATATTAAGGAAAATTTCTTAAACCTACTGTTTGTTAAATCTCCCAAAGCTTTCCTATCAAATCATTAGAGTTTATGAACTCTGTAAACATAGAGTTTTGAGTTCTGAAAACTAAGCATAGGTATCAACAGGTCCAAGCAGGATCTCATCCACCGATGCCTACATAGTGCTACAAGCATCTGGCAGTCTGAACATTCCTCCTTCCCAGATGATGGCACTGGAAGGCATCTTTTATTATTTTCTTTTCTTTTTTTTTCTTTTTTTTTTCCCCATTTTTTTTTTTTTAAATCACAAACAGACTTGCATGATTCAACAGTACGCTGGTATGAGAAGTGTCAACTTGGCTATTACAGTTCAAAGAAAACTGTCAAGAGACAGATACATTAAGACATATGCACATATCTTCAGCACAGAAGGCCCAACCATCATGTCCAATCTATTTAACATCACGTCCAGTAAGATCTTCATTTTGTTTTAGGGTATTCCTGTACTTACAATGAGTGGGAAGTTGTTGGAAAAGAGGAGGAAGGTGATTTTGATAGTGAGCAGAACGACATTCCAGAAATGGGTAACTATGCCAGCAAGAAAAGAGGCCACTTCTCCCGGCAGCAGTGTCAGACGGTGCCCCAGCTTTTAAATTTATTGCCTATCACATTTATAGAATGTGATGTTATGATGTTTCCTCATACTACATATGCCTGATTGCAACTTTTGATGTTATATAGGAGAGCTGGCCTTGCACAAGAAATGACATTTTGCTATCTTGCAAAAATTAATGGTCATAAACAGAAGGGTCTCTAAAAACCTTTAGTAGCCAGAAAAGACAACAAACTCCCTAGCTGGTGTAGAACGGATGCGTTAATTTCAACTTTTGGATTTACACTGGCTGTATCTTTATCCAAACAAAAGAATTACTGTCTCATCAAGTCCTATTGTAGCAATGCAGGTTTTTCTAAGGCACAAGAATGTATTTTATTTAAAAATTCTTTCTTCTCTCTTTGTCCCCTTAATAAAGAATTATTTATATGATCTATATATTTTTAAAAGATATGAAGTGAATCTATTGGAATAAATCCAGCGATTCATCAGATAGTTTTCAAAAGGTTTAGAAGTAAAACTCCAAGGAAGCTCCCTGGAACATTTTGAATATGTCATGGAACCTTTAGGTATATTCACTGTAAATTCATTAAGACGTGATCAGACATAGGAAATGTTGTGGTTGTCTGACATATTTCAGGCTTCCTATAGATGAGGCACTGCACGTTACAATCTCAGCCATTAAAAAAAAAAAGTCAGAGAGCAGCAGCCAAAAATATGGAATGACATGGCAAAACTGACTTTGAAGAATTTTCCTTTGGAATTCTCCTTATGCAGCAACAGAGGGCAGTGTTACATAGCCCAGTTGCTCAAAAGCCATCAAAAAAAAAAAAAAAAAAAAAAAAAAACAACAGGTCAGGCCTGAATAATAGATGTTTGACATTTCCTTAAAGAAAAGAATGCACTGGAAATATGGGATCAGCAGGCTCAGTACAGGTATCCAAACAGGGTGGTTTACTAGTCAAAGACAAGG